CAGCGTGACATTCAGTCTTGGTTTTGGGCCAGAATCATCCAAACTGGAGATTCTGGCAGGGCTTCTACCTGAAACCATTAACCCTGCCCTCGGATTAAAGGCGTAGCTGCAGGTGAAATCCAGCCTGAGCCTGGCACTGAGTTTCGGAAAGCTTTGTGGCTAGCTCAAGTTTCTCAGCACTAGGCAGAGATGCTGCTTGAGCCATTAATCTGCAGTTGTATTTACAGGAATTTGGAGAGGGCAAGATGCTCCAGGTTCACTGGTAGCTTTGGAAATAGCACAGCCTGGAGCAGCTGCTTTCCATTTCTCCCCATTACCGAGCTGGAGCCTGGCATACAAAACCACATGCGCGGACTGCTGAAGGGGACTGGGGTCTTGAAAGCAGCTTTTGCTTCAGGCAGCAAAAGCATCAACACTGTTAAGAGTCTGTAAGCTCTTCTCCGAGATGTTCAGCTTGACAAGAAAACCTGAACTGAATCCTCATCCCTGTTTCACCGCAACCAGCTCAAGCCAAGGGGACAAACCCTCAGAGACTCCATCCCTGCGCTGAAAGGCTCCAGCAGGACAAACCAGGGACGTGTCGAGGCCACGGTGGCTCAGTGAGGAAGCAAAAAAATTGCCAATAAAAAAGCAAAACTGCCATGCTAAGAAAACATGAAGGCTCTCTGGTGCATCTAGTGATGCTAGGCCAAAAGCAAATCTCAGAGCAGAGTTCTGGCATGACATCTTCACTTGTATATAGTCTGGACAAGGAAGGCGAGGATATAGGACCAGTGTTGAAAATAGATTATGGCAGCAGCATGAAGAGATACAGGAGACTGCAAACCCGAGCAAGGTGGGCAAACCCTGAAGGCCTCGGCAGTCTGGTATTACAGTGGGGAGAACTGTGGCAAAGTGTTTACGGAGATATGAAGGTAGCTCAGCACTTCTCCTCGGGACAGTAAGAGATGCCCACACAGGAATGGATATGGCACAGCCGCGGCGTCCCCGAGACCCCCAAGGGCTGTAGACAAGGGTGGATGAAAATTCCAAAGACGGGTTTCCAAAGTTTGGGAGTCATATTCCCCCCTGTCCCTCGGGCTGGGCTGCAGGCACAAACACACCAGCACCCCAGAGCTGGACGCAGGCGAGAGAACCCTCCGGGAATTACACCAGACATGCGGCAAGTCCCACACACGTGGGTTCAAATGATATCTCCTAAACGAAGATCAAGCCTCCATCCTGGGCACTGCCTGCCTGCTCCTCCAAACCCTCAGAAAGGGGTATCTGGGACGCTCTACTTAGAGGCATCTGGATGGAAAGGAGGTTGTTACACACAATTCGTATTTTCTCCTCCGCGTGTACACATCTCAAGGAACCACAGGTACAAACGTGGTTGTTTTTTTGCTTTTTTTTTACCCCTTAGTTAACAAGCAGTAGAAGTGGAGTTTGTGCATGCTGTATCAGAGGGATGGGGCAACGATCAGTCGTGGCACGGAAGACACTTGTTATATCAGTGTTACCTACAGAAGCACTGCAGCACCCTACACGATGGGTCACTGGGAGGACGGCCTCTCCCCAAAATGATGCTTTTGGCAACGTTACCTCGTCAGGTACTACAGCAATCTGGGAGTGCAGATACAGCTGGAGCATATTGCTGTCTACTCATCTCAGGCTGCATGCAGTAGTAGGCAAAATTGAGAGTACAGTCAGTGAGAGAGTCCAGAAAGCACATTCATATGTTAAAAAGGACCCGGCTGCTCCTCCTGCAGCAGCCGCTCCTTGCTGCTACCTAAATTCTAAGCGTGGTTAATACTGTATCAAAACGTGTGTACTCCCTCTCCCTCTAGACACTAATATAAGGCAAGCAGTATTGTGTCACTGGGGCATCAGACACTAAGATATACTAAAGAAGGTTCCTATGCATTATTATTATATTTTTTTAAAAAAACCAAACCCTATTGTTATTGTTAAAAAACCAACGAACCCACACCCGTGCTCTAAGCAGATTTTACTCTGTGACGCAGAAAAGTCAGGGTGTTTGTGTGCTAAAAGCAAGAGTTCGCTTTTACACTGCTGAGCAGCAGCGACCCACGCAGGGCTGGGAGGGGGCCGCTGCCCTCACCCCCGTGCCACCGCCCTCTGCATCGCAGCCTCAATGTTACTTGCAGGTGGAAGAGCTTTTGTATCTGATCTCCTTGTTTCTGGTTGACAAAAAGGAAGCTGATGAAAACAAAAGATGCTGACCCGTGATGGAGAGCGGGTGAGAGAGGAGGCAGACGTGCGGGTGTGGGTCGGAGGACCGCAGGCGTGCTGGGAAGAAAGGGATGGAGGCTCGGGGCTCGCTCAACCTGAGCGAGGATGGAGAAACAGAAATCTTTAGCCTGCTCCTGAGCGTTTTAACATACCCAATAAAATACTCACTGCGAAGGGTCTTTATACGGGACAACTCTTGGGCAAAATCCTTGGGAATTTCAGTATCTCTTTTAATAGTTATGTTTTGGTTTTAGCAAAAATGTTGCTGTGACCATAGTGGTCCGAGGATACAAGGGAAATGAGGTTTGCAGTAGCTCCCTCTTGAGCAAAATATGAGTAAACCTGTTTTTCTTTTCTCTTGGGTAACTGTTAGGAAGGGAAGCATCTGAGGTGATGCTCTGGCTTCTCAGGTAGATTATATAAACTTGTTCTAAAAATTCACATAATTTAAAATCTTAAAAATTAATTTTTAAAAATGTAAAAAATATACCTGTTTATCTGTAAATAGCAATGACCCTGCAGAATTTATTTGGATCTATTAATCAGCATTTGAAATAAAATACATTTTTAGAAAATCTGATCTATCACAGAGTCTGTCTAAAGAAATATAATGGCTTTCTGAGCTGGGCAAGAGGTTTGTTTTCAGTGAGTTCCTCGACATTTTTGTTTTAAAAATTATTAATAAGAAAATGAGTCAACAAGGAAATTCACATACAAAATCTGCACTTGAGTAACATTAAAGTCCTTCCCAAATATTGGGAAATTCGACTTATGGCTAGTGCTCTGTTCCTATGCCTCGGGGTCACATTGTGAAAGGCCGCCTGCGCAGAGACTCCATCATCCCCAGCCACGTCTCCTGTTTGGAGACATTAACTCCTCAGACAACGTGAACTCATGCTTGGACCTGAAGCACCCAAAAAAACCTGATTGCAGCTTCAGGTCCCAGTCTCAGGGATTGCTCCATCCCGCAGCTGTGGCCATCTGCAGTATTTCTCTAGACCCAGATTCAGAAAAAGAAAAAAATAAAAAAAAAGAAAGAAAAAAAAGAAGTTTCTTGGAGACCAGATGCCAGGCTCTGGTCCAAAGCCATGGCTTCACAATCAGCACAGATGCACCTCGAAACCAGGCTCTGTGCACAAACCGGGCACGGGCACGGGCACCCCTGGAGCGGTTCAAGGCAGCCTGCGGGAAATTTGGCTTTCACACCTTCTTCTGTCCACACCTGGCATTGTCTAAAACTTGTTTCTGTCCTCCAAAAAATACAGAACCAGACCTGGGAGGAGCAGGGGAGCGAAGACCAGCCCGAGAGAGGCTCAGCAGAGGGAGAGTTTGCCTGTCCATCCTTTTAAAGGTTTTTATCATTGGAACTGCCTTACTAGCACAAGAAAACTAATTTATTTTCTTTTAATCCAGTGGCTAAGAGTTCTTGTGGGAGATTACCACCAGGAGTGTGTGATACAGGCATGGGGGAATTGAGGGATTGAAAGCGAAGACTTTGCAGGGAGTACTGGACTTGGATTTAGAACAGGAACGAAATTTAAAGTCAATAAGCAATGAGCCGGCTCTGTTATTATTTATGCAAGCATAAAACATTTCAAGAAAATAAGGAGTGTTATCTGGAGTTAATTCTGGTGTAAGTTAACCCAAAAATCCAGGGTTTTTTGCCTGGATGAATGAGTGATGATTTATGGCATGGTTGTGGATGGAAGCATGTGACAGAATTTTCTGAAGTGATGCCACAGATAAAAGTGGAATATTTTTTACACCTTCCAAAAAAAAAAAATTTTTTTTTCTATGTGAAATTTGTAGCAGCGAGATATGATCTGTGCTGCGTGTATATAAAACCAGTTTTCTGTAATCAGTGATTGTGGGACAAATACGACATATTTTAAAGTTACAAGTGAGAAGATCTTTGTGAACGCTGGTTTAGTAACTTGAAGAGGGAAAACCCAATTCTCCCTATGCAACCCCTAAAGGGGGTGAAAGACTGCCAGAATTTCGGCTTGTGGAAAACTCCGAGGACACGGTGGAACTGCGTCTCCTTGGGACACACTGGCAGTATCTGCTTTCATGGTGTGATATCACGCAGGCAGGAGGAAGGGATTTTGCAATAAGAACTAGGAAATGGACGTTCAAACCAGAGCCAGCAGGGCTTCAAAACTAGGACACGATGAAAAATCACATCCCACAAAAATTGTGCCTTGAAGTCCTTTGCCTCCTATATGAGCCCAGTCACGTACCTGTGCTGCAATAGGACCGCACGACATCATCCTCATCCTCATCTGGATTCCCTGCCTTTATATCCTACCCTTTTGTGCCAAATTTCCAGCAGGCCTTGAAAAGTAATTACGAACAAATCAGATAATAAATCTTCATTATCTCTGACTCGGACAAAATTTGCAGCGAGCAGCTGGCTGGAACAATGTTGACTTTTGCCTCAGCCAATGCAATTTCCATTCTTGTGGTCACTAGAAAACACATGCCACCAAGTCTGACTTGAGACCTGCTGACATGTCCTGCTCCACCAGAAGGCATCTCATTTTTGCAACACGCCACAGGGGCAAATCTGCACGATTTGCAGCCATTTTGCATTCCGATCTTTCTTTGTATGGAAGTCAAAGGCATCGCTGGGTTCATTTTGCACAAAGAAAACTGGAGCCAAAAGGAGCACAAGCAGAGAGGGAAAAATTGCAGGAGGTAACAAAAAAAAAAAAAAAAATTATTCAAATGGGAAAGGAACTAGCAAAAAAAAAAAAAAAAAAAAAAAAGATTTCCCCTCCTGAATGGTGAAAAATGGCAGGAAAAATTGTGCAGAGCCTTTCCCCATGCCTCAGTGCCATGTGAAGACCTGCGTGTTGGTCCTGAGCTCTAGCAAAAGGATGGTTTTATTTTTCTGTCTGCAAGCTGTCAGACTGCACCCGCATCTTCCCTAAGGCCAAACCAGTCCTGGGTCTCCCCTGGTTGCTGCCTCTGGTCAAGCAAACGGGAGGAGAGAGAAAGGCTGTGATTCTCCCTTCACCCCGAGCCACTTCCAACCTCTCAAAGGCCACACAGAAATGAAGTTGTCACCTAAATATCCTTAACAGGCTCTTGATATGACACAGGAAAAATGTGGAGAGATGAGGTTTGAAATCACAGCCCCAGCAGAAAGCACACGGGGGATCTGGGCTGTCGATGCATGGCCAGGTTCAGAGGCACAATGCCGGCCGTGGTGTCCCAGCCCTGGAGATGGATCCCAAACACAACTTTTCCTGATCCACCCCCTCACAGAAAAAAATAACCCCATCAACCTATCCACATAAAGGATCACTTTGTGGCTTTGTTTTGGTCCCAAAAGAAACTCTGAGCATCGCTTTTCCCCTCGCCTTCCCCCAGCTGAATGCACTGCTGAGGTTCCTGGTAATGACACAACGATCTTTCCAAGTAAAAGCACTTCAACAACAACGAAACGGGGCAGACTTGGATTGGCACGACTTGTGAGCAAGCCCAGGTAAGAGGCTTCTGAAAGACCATGAAGAAACGAAGAAGCACCTCTTAACTCAGCTTGAGGGATCCAAACAAAACCGAAGGACATCCCGAGAACGTGGGTGTGAGATTCTTGGCAGGGCAGAAGAAGAAAGGGAAGATTTTCACAGGGCATAGTGTGTGCAAAAGTGTTCAGGCACAATGCAAACTGTAAGAAAAGTGCCCACTCTGGCCAACAGGGCTTCACCGGGATGGAGCTCAGCACTTAACTCGCAGCAATGCGGGGACCACGGCATCTTGCACATCCACCCTCTCCCTTTGGCCTGGTGGCTGTGCCTCCACAGCACCACTGTTGGCCACGAGAATGGCTTCGCACCACGGCAGCCCTCCAGAGGGGTTGCCTTTGGTTTGCCGTTGCATCCAAAGCACCCGCAGGTCCGCTATCAACAGGAGGGGAGATAATTAAATATAATACATGGTTTAAAACACAAAATTCCAGCCCTGTAATCTCTTGTCCTCCTTCTCTGTCTCATTTCTCTGCTCTATGGATTGTCCCTCTTCTTGCACTCAAACTCGTATTTCTGAGTCTTTCCGTTTCCTAAAATAGGGTAACTTCCAAACCGTTCTGGTTCAGAGAGGTATCCTAACCTGTCCTACTACGAGGCCATGTCTTCTGTTCATGCGAATGTTTCCGCCACCATCCCTCTCCTCCAGGGCCCTACGCAACATTTCCATGTATTATATTGGAATTATGCCACCTTTCTGATGGTTAATGAGGAACCACAGAGCAACAACACCCCCACCCCCACACCCCCACAGTTACACGTGACCTGAAATCTAAGCCAGACACAGACACGTGTTCACTCCACAACTCCAGAATACTTGAAGGTGTAATCACCAGTGCCATGATGTGGCAATTCCCACCTAACGCTTGTCAGCCACCAGTTACTGTGACCTCCAAAAGCCCTGGCCGGGTGATTTATTCCTGCCCTGCACTTCTAAAGATTCCCAAGAAATGCAAATTGCCTACCCTGCACCATGAAGTAAGTAATTTCACGTAATGATCTTAGAAAGAGAGTATGAAAGAAATCTGGACTTCACAGCTCCAGTTCGCTCACCACCATGACCTCTTCCACAAATGCAGGCTCAGACCTGCTCGGTCCCCCCTCCAAGAGTAAGCTGCAAGAAAATATCTGCCAGCTAAGGATGTCCTAGAAGGAGGAAAACCTTAGCTGTCAATCTCCTTGAGAAGTTCAACGCGTGGACAGCTGGAGCGGGCAGCTGCCAGCGTTCGGACGTGGCTCGGTGGCTGCAAGAAGGCTTCACTGCCTGGGGGCTGACCAGCCCATGTCACTGAAGGGTCCCTCGCCCGTGGCCGACCTGGGAGGAGGACCACAGGGCGTGCAGAGGTCAGAATCGGTGTCTGATTCCCCTTCTGCAATGTAGGGTCTGATTTTGGCCACGGCTGCATAGCAACCGTTGTTAAGGATGTCCAAATTTTCTTTGGACTGGGAGATGCTAAAGCCGCTGAAAGAACGCTCCAGTTCCTCGTGGTCTACCGAGGGGATGGAGATGGACGTGTCGCTGTCTCTCATGGCACTCTCGTGGTGTTTGGTTGTAATGTCTTCATTCCTCAGGTACTCTGCGCTCGCCCTGTGCCCACCGCTGTAGGCTGACAAGGAGCGCTCGTGGGAGGGCGGAGGTGGGATGCGGACCAGCGAGCCGGGGTCTCCAACGGGCGAGGAGCCGTGGCTTTGCCGCTGGTAGACCTGCTGCTGGCATGACGTCGAGGGCGGGCATGTGTTGGTCGGGGCTGGTGGGGCAGAGAAGTTTTTCTGACCCATGGAGCTAGTGGACCTGATGATCTTGATGATGCAGCCGTTCTTGTCAATGTGCTCCCTGCTGTCTTCGGGGCTGTGGTAGGGAGGTGCTGGGTCTGGTTCTTTGGACCCAAAATAAGCCTCTGTCTCCGTTGGTGGGATGCCCATCCGCTGCATGTAAATGTTCACCAGGAAGTCCAGCTTCTTCTCCATTGACTGAACCTGCAAAACACCACAGTTCCAGTTCTACACGCAGGCCGAAGCACATTAACACCCCGAGTACAAGCGACTTCCAACCCATCCACGCACAAGTGCAGGGCTGGGCTTCAGAGATGACCTCTGCCTACAGTGACTACACCAGACAGAAACTTTTAGGAAGTATTTAATTGTTTTGTTCTGAAGCATTTGATTCTCCACCTTGTTACGGGGTTTTCCTTAAGCTTCTAGAATCTTTTTGACAGGCGCCAAATTCCAGGAAAGCGGGAGCACACCCGCATCCTTTCAGCCCCTTATGGCATTTGGCACTTGCCTGGGCTCAGACGGCCATGGGGATTTCTGAGCCTTATCCTCTAAGAAGATTTTAATCTTTGGCAAGGCCAGCAGCTACAGCAGCCAGGCTCATGGACTCATTTCAAACATGTCTACTATTGTGGCAAAGAAACCAGTGTGCCGTTTTTAAAAACATTTTTGGTAGACTCACTAAGAAAGAAAGACTGTATGTCACAGACTCCAAAGTGTTTTGAAAGCAGGACTTAGGTTTCTAAGCATTTCATCTAGTGACCTTTCATACAATCCACTTTACAGCCAGAATATTCTTAGCTCTTACTTTTTTTTTTTTTTTTTTTTTAAATGGTAGAGTCCCACTGTGGAAAAACACGGCAAGAAAAAAAAAACAACAACACAGTGCATGCAACACCCTCTGATAAGAACACCCTCCTGACCCAATATACCTGTTTTTCAACTTTTCCAAGCCTGCCCATCATGCTGGGGTCTTCGGGCAGCTCCCCCTCTGCTGGCCCTTTGGTCCGATCCTTGTCGGTCATGGAGGATCCTCTCCCAACAATCTGGTCAACTCTACCGGGATCAGAAAATCCCCCCACCCCCGGAAAAGGACCTGGAGTCAGTTGGAGGCAGCAGGCAAGGAGGGCTCTCTCCCAACTAACACTCCAAATTACTCACAGACACGCAGTGGCACTGAAGTGTTAATTCAGATGCAAAATTCAGAGCAGTATTAGCAAGAGTTTGAAATTATCCATTTCTGTTTATACAGATAAAACCTGGCACATTATGCACAGTAAATTTACCCACTGCAAAGAACTTCTTTAACTGGCTTTCTTCCAAATCAATTAACTTCTTATTTGTACTGAGAAATTATTGGGGAAGATCAAGTTGTCTGTCTAGCATATGTCAATGGGATTTTTTTTATTTTTTTTTTCAGTCTTTGCAGCAGTTTCCTCTCCTAGATGCAAATGTAAGTGTGCAATTTTCACGTCCATGGAAATGAGCCACTTGTTCCTAAGATCCAGACAAACAGGTGTCGTACTAAATGTTTTAGTGGAATGAAATCAAGGCTGACTATGGTCATAACTCACCAAACATCACAAAATTGTCCTCATCTGAATGCTACTGCAATTCACACCTGTATCATTAGACATTTTCTGTGAGCAGGGCTCCACGCTGGTAACAGCAGAGGACACTCCTGCCAAATCAGCAGCTAAAGCTACTGGGTGTGTTCTTTGGTACTAACTGCTTTACACACGTTACATTTGCAACTCCTCATTCCCAGCATAGAAACGCCTGGGTTGATACACACCTTCGTATGCAGAGGAAGAAGGAGGGAGGAGACAGTCTGGAAGCTGGAAGTCAATTTTATTTGAGGCATCGAATATAAATTTTCTAGGGAGTAAACACTGGAGCTTCTTGATCGCTCAAAAGTCAGGGGAGCAACTCGGTTTTGGAATGGATTCTTAACGGCAGCTCAGTTTATAACCTAATTCTACGCCAGGCAAACTTTACTCTTGCATAATGCACCAAATGTAAGGGTGGCAGGGGAAAAGAAGGGTTAATTAATCTGACTGAAACCAAGTTGAGGTATCTTGAGCAGAAAACTCAAAATGCTTCTTACGCAGTTCTGCCGTGTTGGGCCATGGGTCCATGCACCAGGAGGAGGAAAAGGAGGGAGCTGAACACAGACAGACAGGGGAAAATGAACAAAAACCAAGGAAAGGAATGAGACGTGAGGCTATTTCCAACACAAGAGCCATCTCTTTTCTTTACATTTGACAGGGACTTAATATATATGTTGGCTGTTGACATTAAGGGACAGATATCAGTGGGTACGGACCGGCATGGCTCCCTTGGCTTATATCAGAGCAACAGCAGTTTACAGCGCCAGAAGATCTGGCTCAAAGAGAGATGAAGTGGGTGAGAACATCACACCAAAGACAGAAAATATAAAGCCAACAATTATTTTAGTGTTTATCTTTGATCCCAGAAGATACGTCATTTGGACAGGGATGTGACAGAATACCATTTTGTTTAAAAAGTTCATGTCTGATCCTCTGCTTAGCCATATAAGCACAGGAGTACAAGAAGCACCAAGTGCTGTAATTACAAGTGTGAGGAATACGCATGCCTTATTTCTCTCTTGTAATGGGAGAAGGAAATTACTGACATGTACAGGAACTCCCCACAAGGGATGCAATTATTGACGTGACATACAGCACAAGAAATCCTACGACAATGCTGCTACCATGTAAGCAAAGAGGTATTAAATTGGATACCTCGGGTGACCTTGGTTTGGGATCACAAGTCAAGGCGTAGTACAGCCACTGTACGAACTCCTCTCCTGTATGCACAAGCAAGTAGACTAGTAAAACAATGAACATGAATTTAGAGAGGCCCAAAGTCTAAAGGCTACTGAACGTTGTGGAAGGCCAAGGCCAATCAGGGTGCTCTGCCCTCATGTCCCATCTAGCACAGCACTAACACCGGAACGTGCCCACTCATGGAAATGAGATGTCCTTCAAACAGTGGCTGAGGAGAGCAGGGAGGCAGGACAGAGGGTAACAAAGAGAGGCAAACTGAACGTTGCCGTGCTACGGTGTATCCTAAGGGCAGAGACAGTCTTGTGCAACCCTAGTTCTGACCTTGCAGTAACTGAGGAAGGACTTCTGCTCTCTTCTGTGTCCTTAAGAGCTACCCAGGAAGTGAACCTCGCGTGACCCGTGCGAAGCGCAGGAGGCCAGCTGGCACTTCACAGATGGAGCGATCACTACTATCATACAGAAGAGCACTCTTCCATCACCTTCAGGCTGGACAAAGCTTGGCTGTAGACCTGCTGTGATTTAAAAGCAGGACCGAAGCCCTTCACAGAGCTCACCCGCAAAGCATTCAGAAGCCCTTGCCCATATACCACTGATAGCAGAGCCCAGGAGAAGTCCTGCTTGATTCATTCTCTTCGTGTCTACACTTCAACATCGTCCTGACTCCTGAGGTGGTCATCTTCCACAGCTCTGAGAAACCAGAGCGCCAGATCTCACCTTGGAGGCAGGGTCTGCACTGAGGACCACTGCGGGCACCTGTGGGCTTCAGCGCAGAGAGGGGACAGTAAGGTGAACCGAGACCTTCTCCCTTGATGGGAGAAACCAGGCTTGAGATCTCCCACCCCTTCCCATGGCAGAAGTTAGAGGAGAGTGCTCCTACCCGCAGCAAAGCGCAGAGATTTCATTTGTGCCTTATCTAATACAAGAGAGGAGAATAATTTCCTCATGAGTTCCCAACCCGCCTGTACCTAGCTGAGGCCCACAAAGAGCAGGAGGTCCTTTTGGCCATTCTAAAAGAGTTTGAGGTTTTGTCCATATTGGGCAGCAAAGCTCAAAAGATGAGGAAGAGAGAGAACACATTCCACCTTTGCAGGCAGAGGGGGATATTGTATGTTCCTACTGCGTGACAAAGGACCACAAATATCCTGAGATGCCAAACCCCACTTCTGCACTAGATCCCGTGGAGAGCCTTGTCTTCCCAATGCTTATTTTGGCTGTGTCAAACACACACGTACAGAGGGAAGAATTTAGCTGGGGCTTTGGAAGAGTCAGACCTGTGTTTTTCCCTTCCTGGCAAAAGAGGATTCAGAGATTTCTAATGATGCACGACAAACTGTGCCATCTGCTGTCCTTGATAGGCTCTGCCGGGTCTTAGTTTGGGAGGGAGAGAGAAAGGGGGTTGCTCTTTAAAGTGAATTTGGGTATCTTTCCTTCTTTCTAATGATACAAAAAAAATGTAAGGTCTTGCATCAGCCACAGTGCAGGTTTTCTCATGCTTCATTATGCTTCATGCTAACAGTGCATGCAAAGAGGTGTAATATGTCACCCTCGGGCCAGAAGCAGACATCAAAAGGTCAAACGGCTCAAATGAGATAAAAATGAAGTGTTTGGGAATATATATTCAATCCTTTTCTTTTTTTCTTTATCTCTTATAATTTTTTTTTTTGTACACAATCCAGGCATTGAAGCCAAACCCCCTTCATCCATGTCACAGGACTGGCTACTTACCTCCTCATTTGGCAATAAAGTTTGCTCTAGGCATCTTCTGACCAATGTCTATTGTTTAAAAATTACAGCTGAGGTTGCGTCTATTCTACGTTAAATCAGCTGATCAAGGGAATTTAATCCAAATTGTCTGTGTGTACAGCATGGAGAAAACACCTTCAGCCAAACCACAGCCGTGGACATCCACTAGTATCCAGCCACCTCTGCTGGGAGCTACCTGCAGAATCTCTTTGGCTGAACTTGAGCCCTCGTGACTAGAGCACCACAGGGCAACCCGCGGGGTCGAGACAGCTCATGGGAAATCCCTCAGTTTTGTTTCTTTGGGAAGAATTTGGCTAAAACAGGGGTGTGCGTGCTAAAAAGGAGAGGCTGGTGCAGCTCATGGGGACCCCACGGACATCAGCAGCAGAGTCTGACCCAGAGTTTTTTGGATCTGGGTTTGGGGCTGCTCAGAGTTCTGGTTCGCACCCATCAGGCACCTCAAGGACCTCACAAGTCCCACTGATGTCTGCCAAAATTTAGGACAACAAAGCCTTTTAATGATGGGAGCAGCGATTTCGGCAGCCTCCTGTACTCTGCTGCTTTCTGGAGCCTCTCAGCCACAGCTCAATAAAGAAGAAATGAGAAAAAATATTTTAAAAGGGAGAAATTATTTAAAATAATCTTTACGTCCCAGGAGCCTAGTGGGGATGAGCAAACAGATTATTAATCTGTCTGGCCATCAGTATTAGAAACTGTAAAAACAGGGGGGAAAAAGCCATTAAGCTGATAGAGACTGAATAGAATTAAGAATTCCAGTTTGCGGCCTCCTCCCCTAGTATCCATCAATCACCTTTTCTGTGTGCCAGGCACAAGCTTTCACACGCAAATCTTGCCTCTAGCGAAGGCTTGTTGCACACCTAATCTTATAGGTTAAATCTAGCAAAACCCATTTAAATATGTATTTTTATTTTAAAATCAAAATGAGGCAAGTTATTTCACTTTTAAAGACTAGTTTTGGGCTTCACCATTTGGCAGGGAGGAGAAATGGTAAAAATGCTTTTCTTAGAGCATTTTATTTCTAAGCATAAAGCTTGGAGCTTCTGGGAAATTCTAGCTAGCTGAGTGGGAAAAGGTAAGCTTTCAATATTCCTTTCACTCATATTCCTCTAGTGAAGATTACTCAGAGCAGCTTAAATAAAAATCAAAGAGATTTGTCATGTATTAGCTCTTAGGGAGCGCAAGTATATTTAGAAAGAAAAAATATTTGAGGCTACACTTGCTTATTTTAAAAATCACCTACTATTTGTGCATGGAAAATTACTTTCTGACCAATATTTAGAACTGCCTTCGGCTCCAGTGGTCTCAATACAAGGGGAAAATACAGCTCAGCTCATGGCCCTGCCCACCAGACCTCAGAATGCTCTAAAATGGGAACTTCAGTGAGAATATTTTCCTCCTTGCATCACCTTCAGGTATGGTTTTACCTAAGGAGAGAACTTAAGAAGGCCAATGAGAAAAATCTCGCTGCATGACTGAGGGCTGGGTTTGACTCCTGCTCTTCTTTTTGCTTGCAAAATCAGGATCTTATTTCTTTTAATGAGTCCCGTGGTTGCAATATTTTAATGGAATTTTTTTCCTCCGTGGTCAGTAGAGTTGCCTCTCAAAAAGAGACCACTGTGTTCACTGGATATGAAACACTTCATTCTTACTTTGCCCACTGAAGTAAACTCATTTCATCGTACAAAGAGCTGCAGAGGCTCCTTTGCTTGTGTGCGGAGTGTTTAATTCTTTAGAAAGTAAATTGTTGAGTTTATATTGGCTTTGTGGGTAAATATTCCACCTTTTACATTTGAAGATAGCCTGATAAAATACGAGATTTTAAAAAAGATATAAATTTGCTCTCGAACACCTAGAAGAAGACTGAAAATAGAAAATACGCTCGCTGAAGAAACTGATGGTTATTGATGACTGTATGAATTTTTTTTTTTTTTTTTTTTTTTTCCTTTGGCTTGCCTAGTGTGAAAGCTCATTACCCAAAATACATCAGAGCATACCCAGAGTAGCAAGCCCTTCTGAGTCATGATTCAGCAACCTGCGCTGCTAGGTGATAAATGCCGTCATATAACTGGCATGAAAGGGGTTTGACATTAAGCAAATGAAAAATCCAGAGAAAGCGGCATTTTTGGTGGATCCTAACCTAGGCGAGTATTGGGGAGATTCTTTGGAAGAATACATGGGTCCTTTGGTTGGATACTTCTTATGCCGGGGAGTTGAAGGGGGTGGGGGACCCACAATCATATCTATCCTGGCAAAGTAAATAAGAAAAAAAGACACCAGCAAAATGCATAATGAAGCAACACGTAGAGAAAAGTTGGTCAGAAAAGTTGCAGAGAGAAACAACTGAAAAACAGAACGACAGAGAGAGAAAGAGAGTGATTTTGAAAATATACTCTGCTGGAAACAGGAGGCTCTCTCCTACCACCTGGTTGCCAGTGAAAGCCAGAGGCTTATCCACCCTGGGGTAAGATTTGGAGATTTAGGCACCACTCAAACATCATTAGGTGAACCCCCCGCCCCAGATATATCAGGCAACACGCTTTACCCTCTGGAATATATTTGCATTATGTGTAGTGATATCCCATTGAGGCTGTTGGATATGAAACAAATATTAATTCTCCTTTCAGTTCCAGTGCTAGACAACACATCCTCAGCTAGTTCAGACAAGCATGAGCCATTGGGAGTCGACGAGATACGCTGTGGGATTGTGTAACTCAATGAATGGGAGACATCCATGGTTGGCAAGGTGTCAGGATGAGACACGAGACAGTGTGAGCACAACACTGAAAAGAGCACATTACAGACACAGTGACAGAGGCATTAATGATTAAAGAGGAAAGTGCATGTAAACACCCCAGAAACTTGCTTGAATGCAGCTTTAATCCACCAAAGCCTTGGCTACGGGAGATCACAGCGAGCCCTGCTGAGCTGAGCTGGCAGGGACAACACAGCACTTTGATTGCTGAAGGAAAGGGAAATAAAAATATCTGTTCTCCAAGGTGCCCCGTGACAACCTCCCTGAGCTCCACCGTATGGGAGCACTGTATTTCTAGTGCCAGTTGGTTGTGTCCCAACATCGGCCGCTGTCACCCCAGGCACACACCTTGTCTACAGGGCGCCCCTTCCAGTTGTACTGGGTAGGTGGCCATGGGACCTCCTGGTGCCCATCTGGCTACGATGATGATGATGAGCACTGTGAAGGATGACCCCAAGGGGGTCTGCTCCCGTCACCATCACTGATCTCCTGCTCAGTGGGGAAAGCGAAACCAGCGAAGCTGCTTGGTTGGATCCCATAATCCACGCACTTCACACGTTTGAAGCAGCTCCTGGTCCTCCTGACCTCCCTGCAGTGGGGTGGGTGGCAGCCCTGGGCTAGTCCAGCCTCAGCAACCTCAGCCTCACAGTCCCATGGGTACAGCTAAGAGGAGAATTCAGTTTGGTCTCTGAAAGCTGCAATTCCTTATCCCAACCACCCCAAAAAAAACCCAGCCAACCAAACCACAGCTGTCTTTGTAGGACATCACCTTGAAGGATTGGCCATGGGAGACTTGGGTGGACAGAGAGGCAATCTGCCACACCAGCTTGGGGTGCTGAGGACTCGGGTGTCCCACCTGCAGCCAGTGGAGATGGCAACCCCAAGAGCTCACCACCTGCCGAGGCAGCCTGGAGGCCTCTTGTTTCAGGTTATTAAAATCAGGAAATATCACTCCCCTCCTCCTCCTCCTCCTCTTCCTCCTCCAGATTCAGCTACACATCTCGGATCTCTAATCACTGAGTTCATACTGAACGGGGGTGAGAGGCTCAAAGAGAGGAAATTCTCCAGGATATTTTAGTCTCCATCGCAAGGGAGAATTTACCTTCTGGATGCGTATCTGGAAATGGGAAACACACAGCATGCAGCAACACTGAGAAAACTACCTCTGCTGCTTGAGCATCAAAAATAGCAGAGTTAAAATGGTCTCTCAGAGATTAACGGCAGGAGAGAGATGCCTCTTTTTCCTAAGACAACTTTCCGCTCCCATTCCTGGGGTTCATATTAGCTGTTTGCATACCCTTTTTTTTTTTTTTTTTTTCACACCTGCTGACTCTACCAGGGACCTAGATGAGTTTGACATTAAAGAAAAATTTCCCCAGTGGCTTCCAGAGGAAACTGAGCTTCCACAGCCATCAAGGGAAATACTTTTGTTCTCCAAGTGTAAAAGCAGATGGCGTATTATTTTGACCGGAGATAGCCTGTGGCCAAGCCCTGACTCTGTTCTGGGTGTCCTTTGAGCTCAGCAGAACTGAAGCTACTTCTGCTGAGCCAACACAGCCAGGGGGATGTTGGGAGTCTCATCTTCAACATGGGACATCAGGGCTGAGGGAGGAGTGGTCAGACAAGAAGGTCATCTGCTCTTTTTTTTTTTTTTTTCCAGGAGAAAATTAAATTTTAAATGCCCTTCTTGGTTCCATTTGTCCCTTTTTCACATTTCTTCCCCTATTAAAACTCATCATCCCCTAAAATTAGAGCACAGAAGCCGAAACGCAGCTCAGCTAAACCACACCTACGTTGGTGGGCTTGGATGAGAATTCCCCATCTGCAGGTATTTTCGGCAGACTCTGCCATCTGAAGAGGGATTCCTCCTAAAACAGCTCAGCATCCTAACGGTGGGAGGAAGCCTGTAGCAGCAGGGTCGCAACCAGCGCACCAGATTTTATTTTGTATCGCTGCCAGGAAGGTACCAAATTAGCCACATTAGCCTTAAAACTGAGGCACCAAACCTTTGCTACCCTGCCAGGACCACGGAGACATGCACCTGCCTTACCTATGGGATAGACCATAATGACAGAAATTCCCATATAAAGTAGGAGGATGAGCTGTGATTTTTGTGTGTCTGTCCTGAGGTGGGCACTAAGGTGGCTTCAGTGGCATAACATCATTTGCAGTCCCTGTCCTGCTCATCCCTGTGGGTTCCAGCCACGAGCATTGACTTTTTCCTTGCGGCTTTCTCTCCGGAAGAAAAAGATTAAGTTGTAGCTGCAAAGGAAAGTGTCTCTCTCCTGGCAATACCTCCACAATGAACAAGAAACAGTGAAAAAATGAAGCAAAGAGAGGGGTCTCTTGCCTGGCCTGAAGGTTTTTAATCCGGGAGAGCATGTCCAGGTGACCGGCTGAATACTGCTCGATGACATCCATCACGTCGTAGGGCCGAAGGCTCTCCTTAAACTTGCGCTTGGAGACAAGAAATCTCATAATGCTGCAGGAGATGGAGAGGAAAGGCAAAATATAGTCCCTGGGCTGCAGCCTGACCTGCTTAGCGGCAGATAAAAAACACTGCAGGGAGCTCTTGTGGAAGGGAAATGGAATCAATCCCAACCCTGCGGGTTTGGGAGAGGATGAGGCAATAGGAGAGGGGAAGGGGATTGTGGGGGGTCGTGGCTGAAGCCCCGTCTACAATGGGGGGTCCCCGATGCCTCTTGGACTATCGGTTGTGTGAGTGTCCTCTCTGCAGCGCTTTTATAAATGTCAACAAGCTGGTGAGAAGGATCATTTGGCCGCATCCCTGCAGGGGATTTTCCTGTTTCTCCATTTATACCTTCCCTCAGCAAAAACTGCCCTTTCTAGCAGAATTTTCTGTAAAGGACAGCAAATCACCCAGGGGAAAACCAGCCTGCAGCACAGACATTTCAGCATTTACCACCTGTTTGGACTTTAAATATATATTTATTTTTTTTCCCCCCCCTATTATTTATTTTTCTGGACCATTTCCCTCCTCTCCCTCTCTTACCACACTGCCCTGATGCTGACTTTCAGTCCTGGTGTCAAATCTTCCGTCACAAACTCGCAGTTGCAGCTTTTATTCTCATCGGGAATGTCTTCTCCGGGGAGGCTCGCTTCTGGGTTTGGGAGAGGGGGGAATAAAAACAACACGTTACTATTTCCTGTGCTGGTGCTGCGCAAAGAAAGACGAGTCAGATCTCAAACAGCAACCCTGGGGCAAGCACCAGAGATATCTTTGCTGAGCATCCTAATGAGAGCATCTCCCGAGATGTGGTAAGGTGACATCCAGCAATGCCAGCTCCAGCTCTCATCCATCTCTGGATGCTGAAATGCTGGGGTTTCAACCCCAAGCCCCAAATTAAGGTTGACACATGTGTGATTCCCACAGCCGTTCCCAAAGGGGGGTGAGCTTCCCTTCAGGCTTCCCCCCAGGGTGGTGCCGGCCTGGCAGACAGAGCCGTTGGGTAAAGGAGCCCCAGGGGTCCCGCAGTCAGTAACCCAAGGTCAGGTGTCCCACGCAGGGATAACAGCTGGGACCCCTTGCAGGAGGGGCAGTGTCTGTGTGTGAGGAGGATGCCCTGTGCAGAGTTCCCTGTTGGGGAAGGACCTCCCGCCTCCCTGGGACTGGGCTCCAGTCAGGTCTGGCTTTTGTAAACGCGGGCTGTGGAGAGATTCAGTATGTGGCTTCCTTGGTCTTATGTGTTTGGCTGGTTGACTCGGTTCTCTCCCGTCCCTTCTACGGGAAACTGCATTTCACCATTTATTGCACCCATTGCTGGTCGTGCGGTGTCGTTGTTGGGGTCAGTGGGATTGATGTCGATTATGTATAATCTGACTGACTTGTTTGTACCCCCAGCGCCCACCCATGGACTGACCCTTCTGTATCAAATACAATTTGGTTATTGGTTCATCTTTCTGCTGGCTGTGTCCTTTATGCTAGGCCTAATAATTAACAAAACAGATGCCAGACTCTTCCTCCTTTCCCCATCCCAAATACATCCATTATTGTGGGTGTCAGCAGGGGTTTTCTTATCTCTCACTAGTCTAAAGGACTGGAAGGGGAAGGAGACCTATGTAAGCACTCTGGCTGGCAGCTCTGCCATTCTTAGTTGGGGAGGGAGAGGATGTTGGGGCCAGCAGGGATTGGGGCTCTGGCCCAGCACCCCAAGCCCTCACCTTCCGAGTTCTGCCGGGACGCCGCGCCCTTGATGCGGAAAGCTTGCCGAGCTCGGCTGCGGTCTCCGAAGCTCCAGCTCTTGGGCACTTTGCTTGGGCTGTCCTCGATGCTCTGGTCAGCGCTGGGGGACCTCCTGATGCCCTGAGCCTGTGGAGAGCCTTTCCCTTTGGTGCCAGCACCGCGGGGACTGGAGAAGACACGATCTTTCAAACTGACCTTCTGACTGTTCAGAGAAACACGTTGAAACAAAGACAAAAAGGAGACAGCAGGAGGAGTCATTCTGGAAACCACGCAGTCCTTCCCCACCAGCCATTAGAAACCAAGAGCACTTCCAAGCAGCAGTGAGATGTAGTTTTGCTGTTGGCTTTTTTTAAAAAAAAAATAAATATATTTCTTTTATTGGTTTTGCTTTTGTTTTTTTTTTTTAAATTAAAAAAAAAAAAAAAAAAGAAAGCATTGTAGAAATGTTTCCGCCGTAATGAGTGAAATGGGAATGATTATTAAGAGAGAGAAAATAATGAGGACTTAAAACAGAAGCCCCTCGTGGGATGCCAGGGCTGGCGGGACAGAATGACATTAAACAATGAGGTTATGATTCCTTAAATCACTGATCGGCTCCGATCACGAGCAAGGAAGCTTTTCTTTCACAACTGCCTTCCAAAATCCTATAACTAATGAGAAAATACCAACAAAACCCCCCCTTTATCTTAAACTTTTAACTTTCTTGGAAACATTTCACTTCTGGTGCTCAGACCTGTCCTTTCCCTTTCTTCAGCTCCTTTATTTCCTCCCTTTTAAAACACCATCTGCCCCTTTTATATATTCTGAAGAGTTCCTCTTTTTTTCCAGTCATATATTTAAATACTTCAATATGAACACTTAAATGTGCAACTCCTTTATATCCTATAAAGAGCCAATCTAAAAGCTAACTAACATCTATCTGCAGGTCTGCTACAGGTGTCAGAAACAGGCAAAGAAAATTTTACAGCTTCAGAATATGGCATTTTATTGCTGGTGTTTTGTTTGTTTGTTTGTTTGTTTTGGGTTTTTTTTTGTCTATTACGATCCCATTGCTTTAAAACCTTGTAATTACGGTTTGAAAAGAAGAGCTCTCCAGAAACAAGAGACGATCTCACTGAGAAACAGTCTGCCGACCACTCAGCCCTAATTCTTTTTTCCAAATTCTGAAATTCGTAACGAAAAACTTTCACCCAAGTGAAGATGATGAATTTTCACGTGAAAATCGCAAAACGAACAGGTTTTGTGAATCTTTATGGAAGGGCAAACTTTATAGAGATAGCATTGGGGAGACCAAACTGCAAATAGTTTTGGATATATTTGGTACTTTCTGAATTGTAATTGATTATTAAAATACACTGATAGAGGTTATACAACCAGTGCAAGGCACTTGCATGTATAGCCAATATTTTATATATAGGTGAATCAAAACTGAGTAAAACCATGGATTTTTTTTCCCCAGTACTCTGTACCATTGCAGCAGCCACTTACCGTTTTGCTGCAAATGCTCTGACTCAATTTTTTGGGAAGAACATTACAGGAATTTTGATTTCTGCACCAGATTTCCAGGTCACCAACCAAAGACCTTTTTTTTTTTTTTTTTTTTTTTTTTTTTTTTTTTTCTGTCTCTCAGCAATGCCACCTTAAAACTCAGAGCCAAACAGTCCTCCTTTGCCTTCAGAACTGGCAGGAGGGTCTTCAATCAGAACTTAGCTGCTGCTATTTGAAGCAAAGCAAAATGCAGCTCCCTTTTCCCCAGCCGTATCAGCTGTACCATGCGACGGGAGCAGACATTCGTTTTTTGTCAGTAAAGGAAGAAGACGTGACTCGAAGACACACGGGGAGCGGATTTGTTGAGTAAGAGGGTGCTGCTTTTACAAAGTCACTTTACACTGAGAGATGTTGAACATCTACAGGGAAAGAAAGGTGCTTAGGCAGCATTTTCCAGAGTTGCAGAGCATGATCCCAGGGCTTGATGCAACGGGGAGAGCATCTCCTGCCCTGCAGGGCGGGGTCATCTGTGGCCATTGGCTGGGCAACAATTTCATTTTGAAAGTTATATTTGAGAGAAAATAAAATTTGGTCATGACCAAGTCAGAAAAGGCAGAATTACTTGCAATTCACAATGCATTTTTGATTCAGATAAACACTGAAGGTATCATTTCCAGTGTGCTGCCCACCTGCAGGGTCTGTCTGAAAGCCACGGGACTAACAGATGTTCAGCAGAGCTGAAAAATCGGATCAGAGGTACAAATCCAGGAATCTAGGAACAAGCACGGGCCTAAATACCTTTCTGGATGTAAGCTTTAGTCACTAATGCTACCAAAATCATCATACGTAATGAGCCAAATTCTCATTCTGTGCTTCTTGGATTAAAATCCAGATTGAAATTTTGTCATTTGGTCCTAATGGATTTTTTTTTTTTCTTCTTTATTTTAGTTGATTTTACAGAATAATCTGGAAAATACTGCATGTCAGTAGTACTTACACTTTGAACTACCTGGCCTTTTATAAAAATAAGTTTTATAAAAATGAATCAGCAACACACCAAGATACAGAATTCAAAGCAATCTCTTTGTGCCTCATCCTGAGTTGCTCCCATCACCAATCTCAGCCTATAACCAGTTGCCTCCCACCAAGTAAAGCAGGGCCTTCTATTCGGGGCCCCTTTTCTATTGCCACAATTAAATGTGCTGCAAATGTTTGCAAGAATCACAAAAGGCAAAAAAAGAAAGCGTTGAACTCCGTGAGGAATATGAGCCAAGAGTTTCGAGCCTGATAGCATGAGGTGCAACACTTTTACACATTAAAAAAAAAACCCAAACCACCTCACAGAAATTTGATGAACAATTACAATCTGGGTAGGTTTTGTTCCTGAGTACTCCCTACTCAGAAAAAAAGCCAACACCTGATGTCACTTCTTTGTTTTAACGTAGACGACATGAGACAACATGAACAATTAATTGATTTTTTTTTTTTCCTTCTGCCATGCAATTCTCTCAGTGGAAATGACACGTGGAATCACATGCAAGTACAATCCCTGCAGAGGAGAATGCTGTTGGGGTCTGCAGGAGCTGGTAGGAAAGAGTCCAAAAGAAAATACAGACATATATAGAGATATATGTTATCAGCTAATCCAAGATCATGTTCTCATTCAACCAGAAAGTCATGCAGAGTGACGCGGGGTGTCTCGGAGAAGTGACATTTGGATGTCAGTCAAGTGGATGGTGAAATGAACCTCGGTTCAGTGGTGGGAAGTGTATGTGTCGGTGACATGAAGATGAGGGAAGCGGGAATCCAGCCACACACAACAACATGAACTGAAGCTTGCAATCGTGATGGCCAAGAGCGACGCGAGCGCGGGGCGGGCGCCCTGCTCGTGCCAGGGGGAAGGGAAAGAAAACTGGGGCTTGGCAACCCGAGACAAAGATCATGGGAAGCTGTAACAGCGTAACAGAGCGTGCTTTAGTTCCCAGGTCTTCACAACCACTTTCAGTTGGTATCTATTAAAAACATGTTCGACAACAAAAAAAAATTATGTTTCCAGGCTGACTTCGGGGAAGGTTTACAAAAGTTTCAGGTTTTGACTTGAATTTGACAAAGGATAGAAACTGAGTTGGTATTTTTTCTGCTGCCAGTCAGAAAATGAGAGCCCATGCTGGATGTGAGGCCCAAGGCATGGTCCCACAGCCGACGGAAAGATGCTCACTGCTTCAGTGGGCTTTGCACTGAGGTTCCTTCGGGTCCAACAGCCCAGCACTCAGCAGCAAAACGCATGAGAACTGACCTTCCAACGAGCTGCCATCAGCCTCCTTAGGACGCTGAGGGTTTGAGCTTGAAACCCTCTGGCTTGGGGTTTATTCCACAGAATTCTATAGCATTAAATCAGCCCTTTTAAAAAAAACGTGGACTCATTACGTTAGCACTAATCTTGGTACAACAGAAAGTATCACTTGTGATGTCTTGCACTGATTTTAAACTACGCTTGAGCAATTGTTTTCATTTTCTCCTTTCATTTTGTGGGCAGCAAATGTGAGCCACGCTGAGTTGGACTAGCATGGACTCGGATCCATCTCTGCATACGAACTCAACCAGTAACAGTGTCTGTTCTTCTGAGAAGCTACGGCCAGGAGAAAGAGGTTATCTCCTGTTGGGAAATGAGGCTGTTTTTTAATCCAGAGTTTGTGCTGAGCTCATGGCGTATGAGAACAGCTTGTTAAAACCAGGCAGCAGTGCTAGGAGTGAATGACAGCCTTTGTGGCTATCACTGGGCTCCAGTCTGGTCACAGGTGTGAATAAGAGGCAGAAAGCAATTACTGGAGACATGAAGGAAAGGAAAATACATCCGTGTGTGCAAAATTTGCCATGACTACAGCAGAAATCAAGAGAGGACCAGGCTCAAGCCTGGTTTGCCTCCACTGATTTCAGAAAAGCCATCGCAAGGGTGAATTCAGCCCAGAGAATGGAGTTTCTAGAAGTGGAGCAACCTGGGCATAAGGAAAACAAAAGGTCAGCCAATGATCTATGTCATGGTGAGTAATCTCTCTTCTGTTCCTCGCCCACAACCACGGTGTTAGACTTGGGTTGAAGGGGTTCAGTGAAATCCTAACTGGAAAGACCAGAGTTGCCCCATCCCCGCAGCCACCACTTAAGCCTGGCCAAGCATTGGGGCCTCGGGTGAGTGGAGGGACACTGGAGACAGACAGACACGTCTTTAACCTTGGCCTTTGGTATTTTGCAGTGATACCCTCACCCCTCTCTTCCTAACACACAGCCTTTCTTTTTCTTTTTTTTTTTTTTTTGTTCCCCAGACTGATGTTGAGCACTGTCAAACACCACATCACACAATATCCTGCCTCTTCTAGCAACAGTTTGATATTTGCCAGCTCGACTGTTCTGTGTTTCAGGAGCAAAGCAAACCAGCTAGATTGCATCTTCAAGCTGGCTCATTATTCCTAAACAAGACTTTAAGAAATGTTCTACACCCAGACCCGCAGGCCAGTCAAGGGCTCTGCAAACACCTTTCCTTCACTGGTCTGTGTGGTATTTCGTCCCACGCTCAGGTCTCTGTGGTGCCTTCACCTCTCTGAGTAGATGCCAGGGAAGTCTCTTACAAAGCAGAATATGATAGACCTGATAATCTGGCTTGGTATAGCTACATTACTGTCTAAAAATGCATGCATTATTCCATTTATTGACGAGAGATCATTGGTTTAGTACATTAAGAAACCACGGCTTCTAAGGAGTTTTCTATTAATTTACCTGCATTGAGTTTTCCATGATTGCCTCATCGTTTTCTGTTATTTTGTTATATGCATCTTAAATGAAGGCTTTTAGCACTCAGTCTTAGATGCATCGAAGAGCTGGCATCTGCCCCTAAGAGTCTGTGCAGTGGGGGATTGCAGGCAGGCAGCCCAACGGCCCAGGAAAACACGACATCTGAATTATTTTTACGTCCCTTCGCAGTTAACCTATAGTTTTACTGAAGCACGGTGTGTATAACACTACATTGAGGATGGGTGCAGGTAACAAAGATGCCCTTGTAGCTACTCCAAAGTTCAAGACTCCTTTTTGACTGGAAGAACCAGTCTGTAATCCTCCTTCTCAGGGTCTCCAATGGATCAAGAAGATCTTGAGATAATAATTTGGTTCATCCTCCCTTTCCCTTGCAGAACTCAAGATGGGGGAGATGAAATGAGGACCACCATGGGAAGGAATTCAGGTGAAAATAGAAAAAAATTACACTGGCTTTGCCAATTAAAAATTCATGCCTAGGAAGACATGCAAGGAAGACACTAAGATCAGAGTGGCTGATTTTCCAGAAAACAGAACTGGACATGGACAGGTGAGAGGACAGCACTACAAATATCACTGCTCGCTTTAATCTCTGCCCAAACCAACCTCAACATCAAGGAACTGAAGGGAGCTTTTCTCCGGGGGAGGAGTCCCTGCCTGCACTACGCCTCCATCTCCAAGGATAAAACAACTTCACCTGGCAAACGGAAACACTTGCAGAAGTCATGATAATTTTATTTTTTTCAGCTAGACTATTGACCAAATCTTTTCAATACATTTTGGAAATGTATTGAAATGCTGTCTGTGCAACTGATGATCAACTAATACTTAAACCAGTCCTTTCAAGGATAAACTTCGAGGGAGGCCAAGTACCATCAAAACACGTAGCAGGAGGCTAACTCAAAGATTCAGGCTATTTATCCAGGCACAGGGAATTTCCTACCATAGAGAACTGCTCGTTATGAAACCTAGATCATGCCCCCTTCCTCTTTGTTACCCATTCGGAGATGGGATTTACCACCACACTACCTCTGAGCTTGTGGTACACGCAAGCCTCAGGCATAACTCCCAGCCTCTAGACTGACAGATAATAAAAATAGCCAGCAGGGAAAAAAAATAGCAAGAAAAGAAAAGATACAAGTTGGAACGATTAATGGAGAAAATCAGAGATACATGTACTTTGAAAAACTGTAGGTTTATACTTTTAAAACTGTAGGTTTGTTGGCTTTCTGAGGGAGACAGAGACTGGTGATTTTGAGAATTAAAACGGACTCCAAAAAAAGAGCATGCAAAAATCCGATTTCACAAACATGCGGCATCACTCAGTGCCCTGCCACTCCTGGGCTTTCCTCCTGCCTGGCTGCGGGGGGCAGAGCTGATGGGGTTCACCTGCCAGCATTCACAGCATGCAAACTCCGGGCATTGCTACGTCAAGAAGGTGCATGTTTGCTGCTGAGGAGCAGTGTCCGGGGCCGGGGGAAGAGACTCTTCCAGTGCAGGCGTGGCAGGAGACATATTTATGTGTAAGTCAAATAAGATATATGTATCTGTGTACCCTTATGGCCATCAGACGGGTGCACTAAGGAACGCTCACTGGGAATTCTCTGACGCCGCCTAACAATCGTCAGCTGGATGACAAAGTTGAAAACACCGCTCATACGAAACCCTCTGCTCTAGCTATCTGTTCCCCACGGGATCTAGAAACCGAACCATTCACAATGCCAATGTCAACGCTAAGGGGAACCCGTATCCCCTACGTCTGGTGGGACAGGCTGAGATTAGTCCTTCTCTAGCTGCGTAGTAGAGGTGCTAGATAGGCAAGCCGTGGCTTCCAAAGGCCACAAGACTAGGAAAGGTCAATTTGCAGTGTTCAGAGAGCCAAAGGAACGGTGACTGAGCAGAGGTAGGAAGCTGGTATTTCTCATGCTACTAACTTGACAATGCTGTACAGTGCAATTCAATTTGCAAGGATTCCCTGGGCCCTGAGGAGGGATGGAGTGATAGGGAGGAAGGGGTCTCTTTTTTTTTTAAAAAAAAAAAAAAAGAAGAAAAAAAATATTTAAATTTTTAATTTTTTAAAAAAATTTCCATCATTTGTTAAACTTCAGTTCCCTCCTTCCTTGCTGAGCAGACACTGGCTTGCTAGCCCAGACCAAATTCCCCATCCTCATCTCTTTATTTCATGTGTCCTGCATGATTAGCAGACAAGGAAGCCTCTAATTTCTGAGCGGGCAATGGGGAGGCTCTTTCACCTTTTTTTTTTTTTACTCATCTAGTACCTCTATTAAGCAGAGAAGTGATCAGAACGGGTGGTAGCAGGGTAGAGGGAGAATGAGCCGTGCAGCTTTTGATTAGTTTCGTGCGACGCATTTCCCGTGGTACCTAGAGTTTCCTGAGCAGCATCCGCATAGTGACTCTCTGCACGGTTTGCTTTTACTGGAAATGAGGGGAGAGTAAAAATTAGACCTGGAAGCAAATGCCAGACAGGAAACTTTTGATTACTGACTCTAGGTTTAAAAGACAGGTGTTTTGAGGGCCGGGTTCATGACAGGATTTTTCTGTTTGAGCGTTAAGTGAACAAAAAGAAAAAAAAATTTAAAAATCAAGAGGGTTTCTGAAATTTGTCTCACTGTGGTCAATAACTGTCATTATCAGAAATGACGCATTCTGCATTGAATTGGTGGCATCGGTTCATCTACAGGTGATTGTGTCCTGCAGGAAGATGTTTTTCATCTGCATCGGAAACACAAAGTACTATCTTACTCCTCTAAACAGATAAAAAAAGACAATTTTTTTAATTGACTAAGCCATAGAGAGCCAAAACTTTAATTTGGAACTCCAAAAGGTTCAATTTTTTTATTTTTTTTTTTTAAAAAAAGTCACAAAGAGAGCCAGTCAATCTGTGAATTATTTGCACTTCTCATACAGGAAATAGCATTCTGTTAAGCCTGGCATTTAAAAAAATAAAAAGAGATAAAAAGGGGGTGTGGTGCAGTCCCTTATGGCAAGGGATTGGAATATCTGTGTTCAGGCGTGTTTTCTGTAACACTTTTTAGAGGGGCCCTACCACTTCTGGGGAGTTCCTGGCTTTGCGGAGGCACCACCACAGCTCCCAAATCCCAAAAGGCTGCTCAGGCACTGCCCCGCCAGCAGATCGCCACCACGACCAGGGTTCTCCACGCCATGGAGCAGCCCTCTACCTGTGGAAGGGTAATGACGTGGCCCCCATCACCCCACCTGGCCACCAGCGGGCATCACTTGCTGAGTTCATGGACAGATTGAAAAGGCTGAAGGGCACAAAACCCCCAATCTCGTTTTACACTTGAACTCGGCAATCGGAGGAGCTCGCGGGCACACACAGAAGGAATTTGCAGGAATTCCTTCTGCTTCATGGCATCCCGGGCAAGCTCAGCCGACAGCACCCTCTGCATCCTGGGGACTCCTCAGGTGCCCACAACGGGACCTACCCCACATCCCCAGGTAGTCCCGGGGACTGGTGGTGCTACCGGGGCTGTTCTGGAGCTGGGGTCTGAGCGCTGCGGTGTGGGAGGGGGATATTCAGCATGCAGAGCCTCGGGGAGACACCTGGGTTACTTCTCCTCTTTCAGTCTCCTCTGCAGTCCCTACGGAAAGATGCATTCCCTTCCGTGCAAATAATCTGCTCCCCTAAAGGCAACTGATTATTTCCAGATTACTGTCAGTCCCAGCATGAGTCTCTGACACCAGATTAATTGGTTAGAAGGTCAAACGCCAACCCAGGCTAACGTGGCCCATCGGGCTCCTGTGATTGACACCGGTTTCCACGGGCAGTAGTGGTTAGTAACACCTTGGACACCCTAGACTGGATGAGCAGGGGCCCACTGAGTCAACCAAAGGCATCCTCCAGTGCGTACAAAAGCCTTAATCACACCCCTGAACAGAGATATTCTTGTTGTGCGTATCTCAGACAGACATACACATACACCGATATATAGATACACGCACAGATATACATACACATTACAAGGTGGCCCAGTCCAGCATTCACTCAACGTGATGACCAAGGTCTTGCTGAGTTCATTAGGGTTGAGGACAAACCACAGCTGAGGACACCCTTCCAAAGAGGTTCCTCGCAGTACCTACAGGACTGAACTCATGCTGGACAAAGTAATCTGAGTTTTTTAGCTTCCCGGCTCCCTGGAATCCTTCTGTTTCTTTTTCTCCGATATCAATGTATTGTTATGATCGTTTGGTTCATTAATTTTTTTAGCTTTTCACCCAATCATATTTTGGAAAATACAAGAGGAAGAAATGTGGTCATGGACGCCTTCAGATGCTTATCAAACCATCTGTGAAAGAGCATCTGAAGTCCACATTTCATACTGGAGCCTCCGTAGTCCTGGCTAACCATATGTTTGTCTTTTTGACATTACAATCAGAAGACAAAATAAACAGAGACAAGATGCCACAGCAAATTTCCAGCCTGATTAACATAGGAGTAATCAAACCCCGTTGCCATGGATTTGCTGGCTTTCTGCAGCAGAATGGGTGAGAAAAGCCCCAGCAGAGAGCAGCTCTCCTTTCCCCGGGGTTGTGAGGTGGAAAGGACTCATATTTGGACCCAGCACAAGAGCAGCGTGGTCTCGGAGGCGTGATCAGTGTCAGCTGCTCCTTCAGCAGCAGCCAGCCCAGGGAGGGGCAGGGGCCACTTCCCCCCGCCAAGGCAGATGGGAGGGTGGACACCGAGTAGACTCTGTAAGCAGGGTTCTTTTTTAAAAAGGGAGGAAAATAAAAAGGGGGAAGGGGTATGCAGCGTGTAGAAAAAGGCCAGCATCTTTTCTGCTCATCACAGCCTGGGCTCCGTGTCACGGGGAGGTGAGCTCCTGTACCCCCCGAGCGGGTCAGCATGCAGCTTCCCGGCACTCGGTCACGGATGGATGCAGACAAGCTCGTGGTGGAAAACAAAACCAGAAACGATAGAGAAAGGACGTAACCTGTCTCTCAGATCGGCTGTCCCATTTTACACCAAGACCAAATCAAAAGTCACCACCATTCCAGGTGACACCGAGCCTCTGCCATGCTAACCCCATCGCCTCCCCACGTCCTCCCACCCCGGGCAGCAGGTCTGTGGGTGCTGTCTGGGCAGAAATCAGCACGGCTACAGCAGCACCGGAGTCAGAGGGCAGCACCAACGCTGGTGCAAGGGCAAGACCCTGACAGCGGCCCTGTGCACTGGCGGGGCGTTTGGGACGCTCCCTGACCTTGCAAGCCGTGCCAGCATCCCTTCGCTAACTTAAAATATAGCAAGATGCAAAATAGTGAAAAAGTCGTTTCTGTTCTGTTTGCTGTAAGGACTTTGTGGTGTGTCAGTTATGGAAAGAGGGGTATAGGAAATCAGCCACTCCCTACACGGAACTACAACGGGAGGAAGATGCAGCTATCTCCAGATGAGAGACCGTATGTTTCCTTACATCGATGGAAATGGAAAGCGGTGAATTCTTTGCCAACTGAAGCAGTAGAAGTGTGGTGCTTGGGGTCTGCTATGAGAGAAGATTCATCCTGAGAAGTTTCCTAAGTGAAACTCCTTTCCATCAGTGACAGACTAGGGCTGGATGATTAACTGACGGGTGGGCTGAGAAACGGGACAAGTTTTCTCTTCTAAGGGCAGGATGACACACTGAGCATCATCGTGAGACTGTTAGAAATCAGAGTGGGTGGGGGACTGGGGATGCGAATGTAGAAGATCCAGACACTTTCATTTGGTAAAACAACTGATTTGGGGCTCCCTGAATATAGGGACTACTGTGGAAATTTCCTTCCTGAGGTCTGAGACATTATCAGATGGAAAAGGGCAGCAGGAGCAAGTAGAATTGATATTGCCCTAACAAAACACAGAAGGAAAGAGCTTTGGTTCTGCTCTGGCAGCTGAACTGAACAACAGGGAAAGGACTCTAATGCCATGTACATGACAGCTGCAGACCCTCAGCTTAAAGATCTGGTTTAACATCTTACAGTGGAGGGCAACAAAACCCTCAGTGTCACAGGAGACAGATACTCTACAGGAGCAGGAAAACAGCATGTGGAAATGACCCCGATGAAGGAGCTATATACAGTAAAAAATACTCTGAAAAAGGGTAGAGAAAAGCTATTTTTACTTCTTTCTGTGACATGAGATTAAGATGTAGAAAATGAACAGGGTAACACCCGCAGCCTCTACGAAGAAACATATCTGAGTGTTTTAGTTGGTGAAAATGAACCCTGCCAGACAGGATTAAAAAATTAAAATTAAAAGAGATTTAAAAAATTAAGAGATTTAAAAATAAGAAATCAGACTTTTGCCTGCAACTGCAGGGATGCTGGCTGGTGTGACCCTATGAGAGACTGCTTGGTCCTAAGATTTCTTCGGCTGTGGAGCTGATCGGGTCGAAGAGAGATTTCACCTCGCTGCATGGTCAAACGCCTGTGAGAAACGTGGATTTACCTTTTGATGAATCCACAGTATGTCACTGGCTGAGACAGGGCAGGGGAGCAGCCAGGCCCCTGGGATGAAATATTGAGCCTCCTGATGCCACAGGTGGGTGGCCAAGATTTAAGCCTTGGTCTGCTCCCAGAGAGCATTTCCCACGTCATGCTCCCCGCTTTAATAAAGCTGGATGGAGTTCTCGCCGCACAGGCTGAGACCCCATGTAGGAAAAAAAATAAAATAAAATTCTGGATAGTTGAAACATGATCTTGGTGATTTGGATTATTTGGCAGGAAAGTGGATGGAGTGCTACGGAGGTTCTGCTTGCAAAGAAAAGCTCAAATGAAAGACAGAAAAAAAAAGTGGAGGGAAAAAAGGGAAGGAATGATGAAATTTTCCTCCCTTTAGTCAGCACCGTACCAACCCAGATATCTTTGGTTGGATTTTATGCCAGGGAAAAATTACTTTCTGGCCTCTTACAAGCTAAAAGGCACAGCAGAAAAGTTACCTGTGCAAAATGCCAGGCTCTAGTTATACTTCTGAAAAACATATTCCGTGTTTACAATATTTAGTCTGTAAGCTACGTTTTCAGATATGAGATGGAAGATCCGGAAGCCAAGCAGATGATCTCCACAGATCATCAGTTCTGCACCTCACCTCCCAACAAAAAAAAAAAAAAAAAAAAAAAGAGATTCAGTCCCAGAATTACTTCTTAAGAGAACTGGCAAAATATAGGACAAAAAAATCCTAGAGTTTAATACTTCTACGGGGATGAAAATATCCGTAAAGTATCCCAAATACCAGCCCTGTTGCTTTCCCTGGGACATGTGAACAGAGAAAAGCTCTCCCGTAGGTGAGGTTTATGGCTGGCCTTGGAAGGTGCTCGCCACGTCTCAGAGGGCGCCCGGCTGAGCACGACTCAAGGCGTGGAGGGAAGACGGAGCAGGGGCTGTGCTTCATCCAGAGGTTGTGAGGCCAAAGGGGATGGAGGGGGGGTGAAAGGGTGTCTCTGCCACGCAACGTCGTGCCGTGTCAGAGAGCCCTGCTGAGTCCCGCGGAGCAGCAGGTCCCCGCAGCCCCGTGCAGTGCCCTGCGGCAAGAGGAGCTCAGGAGAAGTTGCCACCTCGGTGACACGGTGATGGCTTCGTCTTCCCATGTCACCTTCGCCTGGCGTGGCGTTGGGTGAGGGGGACATAGGCAAAGCATCACCTACCCAGCGGCACTCACTGAGCCTGCATTAGAGTGTTCCAGCTACAACTCCAGCAACAAAAGGGAAAAAAAAAAAAAAAAAAAAGCAGCATAAACCAAAGCCCTGCCATCACCCCGGATAAGTGTCTGCCAGCTCTGCCCATGCTGCCCACCACTCTCTCTGGCCCCCACAGCCTCGCTATCCTCGCAGCTACAGCCCGAGGCAGACTGGAAGGAAGATATGATTTAAGGTCCAGCATACACGTAGATATATCGGACTGCCACAGCACGGAAAAAGCACGTTGATACCTAGAATGCTTCCCTCGATGGCGCCACGACATGGTACACACACGCACACACGTACATAGAGATCTACGGGTAATGCATGGGAATGGCGTGTTGGCAGTGATACAGACCTTGGCGATGGTTCGGGCTGCTGCTCTTTCCTTTAAACAGAAGCAATAGTACATTAGCATGGTGTCAGGTGGCAAAAGATGTTGCTGCTTCACTGTTAAAACATAACAAAAGGACAATACCAAACAATACAACTAAGTGGAAGCTGTGGACAGAAGAAAGGGAAAGGAGAACTTAATTCCTCGTGTTTCTGGCCCGGACAGAAGATCACTAGAGACTCACACAACCTCAGAGAAGACACATACAACGCACAGGGTTGAAGAGTTTATCCCAACCCATCTTTGTGCCTACGCATGACTCAGACACCTGATGGTCGTGTGATTTGTGTGAGCACAGGAGGACTTCTGTGGGCTCAGAGAGTGGCCCCCTTCATTTGGAAATGCACCGCCCTGAGTTGTTTCTGCAGACGGGGAAGGATTTGAACGGCTCCCATGACCCTGGTGCATTCGCTTCTCCTTCCTGGCCACTGGGACAGAGCTCCTGTCAGATCTCTTGATGTGTGGCTTCACGTCGCAGTGCCAACGCGTGCTGCTGGGAGGGGGACATTGGTGGGAAGCAGCACGGACCCCTGCCCTGACATCCTGACACCCCAGCTGGGGTTTCCACCTCCAAAGCCTTTGGCAGCTACTTTGCCAAAGTAGTTGGCAAAGACTACATGGAGGGAGTGGGATGCCACAATTTTTGTATGTGGTTTCCTACTCAGATCCCAGACCACCTGATTGCCCTGAAAAATCACTGACGTTGAGGACAAAGTGAGCCAAACACCTGCCAAAGGGCAGGCATAACACCACAAGGCAAGCTAAGGCCACACTGAAAAAATAAAAAATAAAAAATCTCACCTTCACTGACCAGGCATCTTGGTGGCATTTCCCTCCAGGAATGAGGGAAACCTGCCCTTCCTTCAACTACTCCGATTCACAACTTCACACGGGGAAATTGCATTTAATCTAAGGCCCTGAAGCAATCTTGCCCCTGCAGCCCCACGAGAGAGGGAGCAGACTGTGTTTCTCAGCAGATAAGGGTCTGCCTCCCCGAACACCAGACAGTCTAAGGGACAGACTGGACTGTGAGAAGTCCTGGGTGGGAGCAGCTCGATTCCATCTGAGCGTGATGCTGCACCAGCCCTGGCCCTGCCTCCACCCAGCAGTAACCGCTGAGCTCTGCACAGATCCCGAGATCTGCACAGACCCCGACCCCTCTCCCTTAGGCTGAAGGCAGCAGCCTGGAGAGACTGAAAAAAAAAAAAAAAAGTATTTTCTCCTTGCTCAGACAAGCGTGGAAGCCCGGCCCCAGGCACTAGCTCAAACACTCACATTATAGTTTGCGGTCTGACCCATGGGTCTACAGATCTCTACTCTCTGCAGAGACACACCAGGCAGGGCAGGTCCCATCCCATACCATCCCAGCTGGCCCTGATGCCACCAGCACGGCCAGTATCTCTCCACCCCTCCTGGGATCTGCACACTCCCCATTCACCAAATGGGGCGACCTCACCTGCTTAAAAAAAAAAACCCAAGAATTACCCATCCTGAGCACATGTTTAAGCTGCAGGACTCCTGGCTTTGTGGGGCAATCATTGCATACCTTACCACAGCAAGTTTAGCGAAAATTTCTCACCACTACAACCTGTTCTCAGGGGAGGCGAGTGAAGGCTGGAGGGAATGGGGAATTAATGAACACGTCGTGGGCCTGAGTCTCCTCTCGAGGGTGGTGAAGAGCAGAAAGGTCAGAGGAAAACTGGGAACACTACCTCAGTCAGACCCTTTGAAAATACGACTTTGTATTTTCAGTCAAGCACTGTAACTTTACTCCAGAGCCAAGTTAGGCTGAAGAAATTCATGCACAGCATGGGAGAGGGATGGGGAGGAGGTCGCTGAACGAACCACAAGGGACCAGCTGCCAAAACCTCTCACATCTTCAAGGCTGTCCATACGCAAAAGGCAGGAAGGAAAAACAACGAAATAAAAAAAGAAAAAAGAAATAAAAAGGTTGCAAAGTGTGTGCTTTCCAATCTCTCTTAACCCTGCTGCTAACCTGAATGTCAGTCCCGATTTGCTCTTCAGGTTCCTCAGGAGCTCCAGCTGGTTCAGAGGTGGGATGAGTCTAGAGGGAGAAAATAAAAGACCATTAATATTTCAGGCAGAGCTGATTTTAGAGCCTCCTGTCTTGGAAACTTTACCCGCTGCCCCAGCCTTTCAACTAGAACCAGCTTTGTGCCACCAACTGCAACTGGGGGACAGCTTGGGAAGGACAGAGAGGGGTTTGGCTGCTACTTCCAACAGTGTCCTAAGGCAGAGCGGTGGGGGAAGAGAGAGAGAGTGACAGCAAGAGAGAGAGAGAAACTTGTCTGCACCACCGGATTTTGAACCTCCCAGAAAACAAGCAGCTGCCAGGGTTTCTGAGCAGCGCGGTGGTGTTTTGCCTGGAGAGGTGTTTCACCACCTGTAGTTTAGTGGTTGGCATTGCTTTGTCTGGAGGTCAACGCTGCGGCTGTGTGTTAAGTGAGGAAGCTCCAGTTTCGGAGGCAAATGGGAAAACTCAACCCTGCTGCTCTTGGGAATGGGGGGAGGTATGGGAAGGAGCAGCTTGTGGGGCAGAGAAAACAGGGACCCGCGGTTGGGAGCATCCCAGAAGAAACAGCAATGTGCTCCGGGGTCAAGTTTAACAAATTTCCTACTGCACGTGTTAAATTTTGTCCCAAAATGAGGCAAAACCATGTATCATTGCCTTCTAGGAACCATGGATTTCCTTCCTTTCTCAAGAAGGAAAAGGACCTGAAAAAAAAAAAAAAAAAAAAAAAAAAACAAAAAACAAACACCCTGTTGCCTTATCCTGGTTTTGTGCTAAAAGCCACTGAATTAGGTCCCACATTCACTTTTGGCTTCTTCCCTCAGACCCTGGGAGACGGGGGCTTACTCCACAAATATTTCACGCTGTTATTCGCAGTCAGGTTCTTCAACCAAGAGAGATGTCAGCTGCAGGTGTCGGGGGGAGGGTGGAGGATCTGCACAGAGTTGGGAAGAGCAGCATCTACTTTACGCTTGGGGACTTCACTGGGGGTCAAGGCCAAGGGGGCTCATCCCATGGCTTGTTTCAAAGTCCCTCCTAGGCCACCAGCGTGCCCGTGTCAAACTGCCCAAGTGCCACACGCCATTGCTGTGCCCAGAGGGTACGAAGCAGCCGCCTCCAGTCCCGCTTGCGGGGAGCGAGCGGGAGGATGCGCCGACGCAGGGACGACGGGGAGGACAAGGGGGGGCTGGAGGGCTGGGCACAGCTGCCCACGTCCCTGCGGTCGGGGCCTCAACCCCAACCAGGCAGTGTAGACTTATGGCTTTGCTGGAAAATGAACCACGGAGGTTTTAATGAAAGCAAGAAGGACCTACTCAAACTGTCCCAAAACCGCAACTTCAGGCTGGAAGGAAAGGGGTGCGAGTGCTCGCAGACTAACAGGCTGGTCTCAGCTGAGGTGTTGTAAGAAATGGGGCTGTTGCTTACTGTAAAATAAAGGCAGAGATATTTATGCCCACATTTTTTTCAGCCGTTATGAGACCAACAGTTTCACAGTTTTCCTCTAACTGAAAAAAAAAACCCAAAAAACAACAAAAAACCCAACTCAACTGTAAAAGCTTCTCCTCTGCAAGCACAAAACTCATCCTCAAAAACACAGTTGTTCAGCAAAGCAGATTTGGTGTTCACAAGATTGAGGCAATCAGAAAATTTTCCAATCCTAAATATGGAGAAAAGAATAAAAATAGGCCTGAAAATTTTGGCTCAGCTTCCCGATCCAGCTCTGTTCACTTCCATCCAGAGAAGAGCACATCCTGATCTGATGAATTAATGATCCTCTTCACTCAAGACGTCAGGAAGAAGCTGACCTTGGTGCAGTGAAGCGGTGCACGAGTGCTGAGCTGTCACCTCCCTTCAAACCCGCTGTAGGGTTGGCAGATTCCGTTCCAGGATGGGAGAAGGTGGTGCATAAAATCAAGCACAAAGTGTACTCCGCTAGCGAAGGCAGCACGACTGTTCGTTGGCGAGTTAAGTTTCTCCGGGAGGCCCATACCCAGCAGAACACAGGACAACAGCCCCACTTTCTCCAGCTGGGATGCAAGTCTCAGAGCTGAAAAGCTCATTAGCTCACTAGATTGAAGGATTCGGGGTGCCAAAAGGAGATCGCATCGGCCCCTAACACAAAGTCTACGCTGTGCTGAAGGTGGCCGTCTCTTGGGCTGCCACAGATGTTTCCATGCAAAGGTAAAGACACACAAGCAAAGACAGAAATTCACTGTTTCTGTGGTAGGGTGATGGGCCTGGTATCCGCATGGTGGAAAACCCCAATGTTTTACTAAAAAAATAAATATTAAAAATGTAAATTCATCCACATACTTGACCGGAGATTTAATCTGAATGGAATGCTCAGCCTAACCTGTCATTGCAAGAGCAGCTTGGGGAACAGCTACTGCATTTCACCAGCAGCTCAAAGGAAAGGCAGGACCCCACACAGCACTTGAACTGAGCTTTGCTGGAGAACGCTGGTCGGAGGACACCCCGCACGGGCGTGTGTGGCCAGGGGACACGTGCCACAGGTGCCACTGTGTCCTCCAGAGACGTGGCCAAAGCCCCTCCGGCTGGGGCATCTCACGTTTTCTCTCTCTCCTCCTGGTCCGTGTGTCACTTGTTAGCAAGGGAAGCACGTTTTGGTTAAAAAGGGAGTTAGGTGAGAAGATCCGCACACCACGGGGACACACAGAGCTCATGCTACCCACCACAGCAACAATTCCGAGCCGCCGGCTGCTGCAGGGGACCCAGCGGTACCTCCAGCTGCTCCCAACACCCCTCCCAGGTCAGCACAGAGAAACGCCACGCTCACGGGGTGCTGGCTCCCCGCATCCCAAGGGAAGGCAAATTTGCTATTCGTGATAGCACAGATAACGTTCAAGCATCGGGGCGGGGGGGGACAGTAGGGATATCATGCCTCCGGCCAGGACATCATGGAAACCCCACAACACGAGGAGGGCAGCAGCACACAACAGTGGGTGGGAGCACAGAGGAAAACGCGCACACGCCACGCCACGCACGCACACAGAGACGATGATGATTTTTTTGAACAGCCCCAGTATGAATAATTAGGAAGAGGGTGACAAGGAGATGGATGCTGGAATGGGATGGGGACTTAAATGAGTCTCCATGCTTTGTTGGAGTCCCTATGAGGAGCCAATTTTTACCCTAACCATGACTTTATGTCTCCAGCCTAAGCTGTTTTTCATAACTAAGAACATTTATGAAACCCATAAAATAGTTTATTATACAAAATGGAAGTGGCACATTCTTATTTCACTCCCAGCCATGGAAAAACATCTGATTCTCAAAACAGACTGTTGTTCAGCACAATGGGAAAACGCATTCAGAATATTATATTTGCAATTCATTGATGCAATTTGCTGTAAATTAACCACACAAAGTGTTAAGTGCGATTTACTAAGGCGGTAAAACTTGCATCTGTGAAAACTGGAACCAGGTTTGGAAATCAGGCACTAAATCACATCAGCTCTAACAGCATGAATGCATCTAGTGAGGATTTAAACAGCTCTGAGAACAGAGCTTGGCCCAGTCTTGAAATGCAAGGCATTTATTCCCCAACTTAAAATACTGACTTGACTACACCTTCAAATACCCACCTCGCATAAAATATGCCTGTGATTTGAAAATCTACTCTTTCCTGCAGAATCTGAGATAATATTATTTATCATCAATCATCCACAGCCATATACAGGTCTTCGCGTTGGGATTGCTCCCAAAAGATTAAGTCCCAGATTGAATAATGGGGGCTAAGAACTGCTTGGCTCAAGGTCAGTCTTGGAAAAAAAAAACCCAAACAAACGAAACGGAAAAGCCCTGCTGAGATGGGACATCCCTTTCCCAAAAATCAGACTGGATTACTAGAATAAATGCATAACCATTTCAGTTTAGCATTCCAGATCTCTCTGTCCTCCGGACATTGTCCTCAAAAGCCGCTTACTGCGATTTCACTCCGTGCTACCACTGACGTGTCCCACGGTGCCACCACACCAGCAAATTCAGCAAACCTGGTGTTACCTGGAGGGCACAGCTCCTCCAGCACGAAGTGAGATCAGTGACACGATGAAGGACGGGAAAAGAGGGTTGGAGAAAGGGGAACACGCAGGAGTGATGGCAAAGGGAAAATGCAAGTATGACTGGGGAAATTTTCTTGTTAAGCATTGTATGAATTGGAGGAAGTTGGCAAGACCATCAAGAAATCATCCTTAAAAAAAGCAAGCTTATCAAGCGCTCTCCCATTCTCCTTCCTCAAATCATCATTCTAGCAGACAGTTTGCCAACACTTGCGAGTACCAAAATGTACACGGAGGTGCACGGAGTTACTCTGTAGGCAGCAGGATTGGGAGCCTGGTTTGGGCTTTCACTCATTCCTTGGAAAAAACTGATCTTCAGAGTTTTTTTTTTTTTTTTTTTTTTTTTTTTTTTTTTTTTTTTTTTTTTTTAATTAAAGGCTTTGCATGTTACAGTCCCAAACGAAGAACAAGGAGTGACATGACACACAGTTTCAGAGTCACATGCACTTCATACCTGGAGGCACCGTACGTTTGCGTTTGCGTGCTTTTCAAGTGTTTTCACCAAAGAAAACCAAAGGGATAAGAGAAAGAAAAACAGGGAGGGGGGAAAGGTGGGGTGGAGGAAAGGGGAAAAGAAACAGAATAAAGAAAATTAGCATATGAACGAAGTGTAACCCCGGGAGCAGATGCGCTGTGACCAGGCTTACAGGTGAGCAGGGGAGCCACCTCAGAAACCTCTGTGTGCCCACGTCACCCGCGGGGACAGGCCGCTGGCACCTCGCTCCAAAAGCAAATGGGCACCACAGAGAGGGGAAAATGTCAGGGCCTCCAAGAGAGCTTTCATGAGACCCCCAAAGCCCTCGGTCCCATCCGCCAGGGCCTCCTGGGACTGCGCTGCTGACGGGCATGATGAGCCGGTGGGTTTTGTTTTCTTTTTAGTGGAGACCAATATAGGAACGCAGTCGAGATCAAGGCCCTGTTCTCATGAGGGACAACAAAGAGCAATATTTTTTTTTTTTTTTTTTGCAAATCCAGTGGCTGATGGGTAACAGGTTACAACGTCTGGGCGCACCAAGCTACGTGTGCACTTCAAGCCCAAACCACACATGCACATACAGGAGCCTGGTGCGTATCTCAGATTTGGTTCTACCACGTTTTGAATTTCAAGATGAAGTCTGAGATTCTCTCAGAGGCCACCACGTTTTCCCCAAACGAGCGAGACTAGCTCTACTGCAGTGATTTAAGTGATGTTCTGGAGACACGTCAACTCCTCCAAGGCACGCGTAACAATTTTCTCGTATCAAGCAGCCGTGGGTTTTGGCGATGCCTTGGGAGGACAGGTAAGCTCCAGTCACAGAGCTCTTGCTGTGAGGAGTAAGCAGCCCGATGTTGAGCAGAACGGGTGCCAAGGGAGCGGTGACTGCAGATCACCCCCAGGCACCCAGGAAAGAGACAGGGATATTGTGTTCCTCCAACCCACTTCCTAATTCAGCGCTGGGCTCGACAGTGCTGCTAAGGCTGCACCGGCACAGGGCTGCCAGCTGGCTTAGTGAAGTGGGTAGACAAGGATAGATGGACAGTGTGAGTGATGGAAGCTGCAGCCAGAACAGACAGTTACCCCACTTCTTTTTTTTTTTAATTTTTTTTTTTTTTAATTTCCCCAATTAATTTACCTGTCTGCATCCCAAACGTATTCAAGAGGATCGCTGCTTTCTTGGTAAAAAACCCAATTTGACTAACAGCTGAATCCATCAGCGCACACACACCTCGCTCTCCCAGGTGATGTTTACTTCGCCTGTGCACAGACAGGAGTTGGGATTTAAGGGTGAAGCTGCGAGAACAGAAAACTGTGCCCAGGGAAGCCCAGGGTGATGCTGCTGCTTGGGGCCAGCGTTGGGAGCAGCACCCACAGCGTCACCCAGCAAAACTGCTGCGCCCCTGCTACAGCTTTGTCCTGGCTTTTTAGTCAAGATAGCTGGGCTCTTCACCAAACTACATTTTTTGCTCTTTCTCCTCCCTGAAGTTTTCATTTAGCATCTTCTGGAGCTCTTTAGCTTAGTTTTCCTCCTGCATACTAGCTCCATGGGAAATACAGATTAAGTAGCAGGTAATTACCCCAGTACATCCTCACGCAAAAGGGGGTCACTGTATGTCTGGCTGCGTCGTAAGTTCAGTCTCTCAAAGAGCAGTAGAACCTGGCCAAGTCCACTGAAATCAGCCCCTGGCTTTCTACATTTTGCAGCAGACTTTGGGCCAGGCTCCTGTCCTCATCCTCTCCAGTAGCTGATCTCAACCAGCGCTGCAAATGTACAGCAAGAAGGTCAAATACTGGGAGTGAGAGTTTTGATGGGTGGGTTGAATGCTACTGGAAAATTTTTTTTTTTTTTTTTTTTTTTTTTTTTGGCAAAACCTTGAAGCTGGTACATAAATCTCTAGGGCAAGAGCAATCGATCAGACACACACTGGGAATGAATTCCATGAAAACTTACTGCCCACAACAACGTGACTTCCAACTGGTTTTTAAGATGGTTTAACAGGCTGGTTGCTGCGTTTCAAATATGGGCTAATGCTTACCCTAGGAAATATATCCAGACTGTCTGCCCGAGGGCTAAAAGGCACCAGTAACATAGGAAAACAGAAAGGGATTCACACCTGCAGTGGCTCAACCCGACACTGGACCACAGCCCTGCTTGGGAGCAGGGAGATGGGGCACAGGGACCCCCATCACGCCCAACAAAACACCATGAAGCCACGGGAATATCTAATGAACATGTCCAACTCCTCTACAAACCCAGAGAGATCTGGCTAGCCCGTAAAACGTGCCAGAGAGGGATTCATGGCCCTGAAATGGAAAATGAACAGCAGTGTTTTGCATTTTAGCTCCTGGGGAAGCCTCCTCCTCACTGCCACCAACCCCAAGAGTGACACGGGGGATGCGGTGCTTCCCCACGTCCCAGAGGGCAGCGAGGCATGGCAGGAGGACTCTGTCCTCATCTCCACGAAGCTCCAAATCCCAAGAGGCTGTGAATTCCCACAGCACTGCTACAACCTGTGTCATTTCAGCTGAAAAAGCTGCCTGGGTATGATGACGAGTTATCTCTCCCTGAAGCAAGCCAGACGGATGCTGCTAAAACACAGCGGTGCTTTATCAGCGTCATCCGTCACGGCTCTGCCGTCCTTCCCTACTCATGACAACAGATCGTGATGGATAAATGAAACGCAGGAAATTGGAAAACGCTCACTGAATCCCGATTTGGTTTTTCTCCTCTTGGAGGGAAAAAAAAAAAAAAAAAAGTAAGGAAAGGAAAGGGGGACCTGAGGAGAGAGCTGGGCCAGTCAAAGGAGAGACAGAAGTTTGCTGAAAGGCAAAGGGACTGTTAGAGACCAGGTGGAGCAGCAAGGAGAGCCCAAGCAAGGGCACAAGGAGGGTTTACCTACAATCCAGGGCAGCTCGGGAGGTCTTCACACCTGGGCACGGCAACTGTCACAACACATTGCAACTACCAGCGGATGTGGAGAAATAAAGGTGAAAAGAAGAGCACGTACACACACAGACACAAAAAGAAAAAAAAAAACCCAACAAAACAAAAAACAAACAAAAACAAAACACAACAGGGAAATTAAAATCAAGTCAAAAAGAAATACACCAAAAAAACCAAACAAACCAACCCAAACTAAAAAATCCTCCAAAAGAAAAAGAATCTATCAGCCCTTAAGAGCTGTGGAAAACAACTTTTTTCAACCTAATAAAAAAAAAAAAAGTAAATAAACAAATGAAACTATATATCCAGATAACAACAATAAATATGGAGACAGTGGCATCACGAGGAAGGCAGTGGAAGGGGGAGGTGGAGGAGGAGGTACCTGTACATGGGGACGGTGACGGTGCGTTCGTAGTACTGCCAGGTGGAGTGCAGGTCCGTCCGGGACAGGTTGGTGGCATAAAATCTCCAAGCCGCCTGCAGAGAAAACACGTTGGGACCCTCTGTTTTCCTTGATTTGATACGTGACAAATTTGGGGCGGTACCAGGCCAATCCTGATGACGTGAGCCCAGCTCAAAACGCTGTGGGTACCAGGCACTGGCTGTCAGGTTAAGGCCAGGTATCAAAGAGGTGTTGTTGCCCATTAGAGAATTAAAAAAACTTGGAGAGAGAGAGAATTAAAAAAACTTGGAGAGAGAAGGAGCAGGGAAATGTAAACTGACTCTTAATCTCAGCTCTCTAAGACATACACCAAGGCCAGCCTTCTGCACAGACATCTGTCATGGTGAAGAAAACGCTCCCGATCGTGTCTTTGTATCAGTATAAATATTCTCTTTGGGGGAAAAAAAAAAAAAAAAAAAAAAGTTTGATGAAAACAGACTGTCCTAATGCATTTGTCTTGCTGTGCTGGGCTGGATTTCATTCCTCTTCTCCCCCAGATTGCCTACCACAGATGCTATTTTCCCATGGCTGATTTCCTGGCATTTATTCGCAGACAAGACCAGTCACCAGCTGCTGTCTCACACCTTACACACACAGCATCCATTTTTCACCTGCCCATCACCTCGCCAACTTCTAAAAGTCCATTAAGCCTCCCTAAAATCAGGGTGATGCAACCCTGGATGTGCTCCCCACCTGAATCAGGCCCGCTGCTGGGTTTCGCCTCTTCTCAAAGTGTTTCTGTCGATGCTGCTCTTGAACCTTCAGAGCAAACCCCGAACCCAAGATGCCCTGGGGAAGAGAACGGAAATCTGCAGTTAGCAGGGTGTTAGCTAAGCTTCCACTTAAAAATTGCAGCCAACTTTCCCTCCAAAGGTTTGTTCTGGCTCATTTTTTTGCTTCAAACGTACAGGGGAAGGAAGAACAAGGCTTCAACTGAGGCAGCCCTGGCAGACACGCTCCCCGTGAAGGGGCAGCAGATTGTTCCGGCAATTGGCTGCTTTTCCCAAACTACCTCCAGACAGCTGATAAAATACAAAATAACCACACTGCGCTGGCGTTCAGCAAATCATCCCCAAAGGGGAAAATCAGATCCCTGCGACACACTGAGAAGCGCCGCGAAAGGGACCGAGGCAATTTGCTGAATGGGCAAAAAATCACCCCTAGGAACAGACCTTGACAGGAAAAAAAAATAGTTTGACTCCAATAAATATTTGTGCCGTGCCAAATCTGGAGTTTCCACCCCGTTTGCTCATCAGCACTGTGTCTCAGCTGTGGGTATTCAGACGGGGTTTCCCCCTGCTCTCCCCGTTTTCTCGACAGCCACAGAGCAGTCGCGGTGGGGAGCTCTCTGGGTACGTCACGCTGCTGGGTGTAGCTGTTGTGTTGCCACCAGCTCCAGGGGCCGGGGACAAAGCTCAGCCCCCTCCCAGAAAGACGCTGCAGCCTCTGCTTACGGCAGGAAGGGCGAAGAAGGAGACGCCGATGAGCGTGAAGGTCGCTGCCAGCAGCCGCCCGTTCCAGGTCTGCGGGTACTTGTCCCCGTAGCCGATGGTGGTCAGAGTAATCTGCAGGGAGGAGATCACCACACAGCCCCGGGTCAGACAGCCTTAAAACTAAACCCGCACGGCCCAAACTCCCGCAACACCAGAGTGGGGCGAGGAGGAGCCAAGGTCACCGCCACGTGCCCCGAGCTGACCACATCGATGCCCTCACACCCGGGACAGCGATGCCACCCTGCCCCCCTGCTCCGCACGCCGAGTTTTCACACCGGTCGGGAGAGTTTTCTTGCCTTTAGCTGCCACAGAGAGAGCTGCCATCTGGTGCAGAGGCTTGCGGCAGCTCGGAGCCTCCCCCGGGAGACGGGGTTGTGCCTTGGGCAGGGGAAGGGAACCGGCACAGTTCCCCCAAACTCCCTTTCGGCACCTCACGGAGGAACACAGGGCTTTTTGCTTGCATAAAGATCTGATGCTGTTTATTTCTAATCTTCCCAACCCTGCCGGTTGCCCTTCCTATTTGAAAACACCGTATTAGCCCAACAGGATGAATTGCGGCTGCTTCACGCAACCTGACTTTGGGATGTTGTTTCCTCTCCGCAGTTTTATTGCAATGCACTGAGAGAGTGCTGGCAAGCTGCTGTGTGCATTTTGGGGAAAAAGCTGAGAGATTTGTTGGAGACAAAGAATACCCTGAACTCCAAACTGCAGGAAAAGATGCATTTTCCCATGTCAGTGCATGGACATCACTAACGGGTAATGCTGGGTAACCCCTAAGGCTTCCAAGAGGACTTGGAGAGCCTGGGATTGGCAGGACAAGGCAGGGAGAGATGGTTTGATCAGGAAAATCTTTGAGACTTCTGCTCAAGGGACCCCAACGTTCCCTGTGACAAGTGGCAAGTTGTCCCCATCCCACAGCCTTTGGGGACAGAGCTGGGCCCTGGGACGGGAGCTGACACTGTGCTGATGTGGCTTTGGAAACCTCATGCATTCAACTCAGAATAAAATCACTTTTACACAAATGGAAGTACGATCCCCAAGCGCTGTTTAATTGGACCCACTAAAAGCCCTATCAATTAGATGCCGTTTTGACGAAGCGGTTAGAAAATGCATCTACATGGCTACTCCTTACTGAAACACAAAGTTGAAGCAATGCTCTCTCCACAGTCACTGCTAAGTTGGTTGACAAATCTTTTTATCATTTATACAGACAACTACAAGGATTGGATCCACTAAGATCTGAACCTGAAATTTGATTTATTTTGCCCATCTCTTAACATCTGTCTGTTCCGGACCCGTGAGTTGGACGAGGACAAAACCCGCTTATTTTAATGAAGCTCAAATTTTACTCTGAGCTCTTCAGCGGCAAAACAGTCTGGTGCACCCCGTGTCCCGAAATGAGCCTCTGCTGAGGGCTCGCACAGCCTGGGAAGCAGGAGGGACAAATCTGCACATGGTTGTCCCTAGACTGAGCTTTAATCTGGGCTGTCACTTTTTCCTCATTGTTTATTTTCTAGTTATGTCCAATTGGGCTTTGTTTTTATTTTTCTGTCATAACCAAGGGGCTTGAAAAGCAATTTACTGCTTCTTTCCCTTTGTTGGAACAGAGGAGCTGCTTGATCAGCTGATTCCTCCCCAAGCCTGTTACTGGGATTTGATCAGATCTGGGATTTTCATTACATGCTTTGTAATCAAGGCCAAACTAGCGCCACAGTGTCAGAGCAGAAGAACAATAACACAAGAAGATTAAAACTTCATTAATTCTCTCTTTGTTAATCGGGTAATCCAATAATTCACATGCATATGCACACACAGAGCAAACTCAAAGTATTGCCCTTTCCTCCTTTGTCAGCGAGATGTGAAAGGGGAGTGCTTCCAGCGCTGAAGTCTTTCTGGTACTTGGATTTATAAAATTTATTCCAGCGTGTTTAACAGCACGTTGCCCAAGTATGATTATAAATAATTAAAGGGCAGCAATACTTGTCAAAATGATGATCAAAGCGCCCCGTAGCGTGGGGTCTTTATCTGACCTGCCTCTACTGTCACGACAGAGCTCAGTCCCACGACTGAGAGCACCCAAGCTCCCCGTTTCCTTGCAACTCCAGTTAATCCAAGAAATCCCACCCTCTAACATTTTCTAGGAGGTTTATTTAAGAAAAAGAGCTAAATGGAGTAGCCTGGAGCCATTTAATAAAAATGTTAACTAAGCACTCTGTGAGTCAATTCCTCACATAAGTGATAGAAGATGGAGGGTTAATGGACATTTTATTTTAATAACCAGCAGCTGTTCTATGAAAATTACTTACCAGACCCCACCAGAGTGCATCTGCATATGTATCAAAGTGCTCATTTTCTCCTTTCTCGGCCAAGTATACCAGGAAAGAGGCCAGAATGAGGCACAGGAAGCCAATATACCAGGCAGTAATCAGCTCCTGCAAGATCATTAAGGGATAGAAGAGAATAATTGCAATCCTAGTGCACATCTCCAAAAGCTGAGTTACTTGCTTGCGGTTGGATCTGATATTTCCCTGCATTTGTTTAGGCTTTGGAGCTGCGGTTGGAGATCAGCAGTCCTCCCACTCTTTGAGATGGGACCGTGTACTGGTGGCAGCCCTGCCACGCACAAGGGGCAAGCCCCATCCTGAAAACCCCATGATCTAAACAACATACAGCAAAGGGAGAAGGAAAGGGAGGGTTAATAACTCCATTATTTCAAGATGTGGAACTGAGACTAAAAAAAAAAAAATATTTCTGTAGTTCACGCAGGGAAGTGGGGATACAACTGAAATGGGAACTCCCAAATCCCTGAGGGGTTCCTTCCACTAACTGGGGAAGAGCTACAAAGCGGGGGTCTGGAAACAATACCCCCCCAGTTTCAGGCAAGTTTTAATTCACAATTCACAGAAGCAATTGGTTTTGAGTGAAGTTAATACAAGGGTGGACAAGAGACCCACAAATTCCTCATGATTTTTACCTAGTTCTGGAAAAGCTGGCTAAACATTTCAATGGAAAAAAGTGCAGGAAACGGGAAGAAGTTTAAATTCATAACTCAGCAGCAGGAAACAAAGAATAAATGATCGATAAACTCTTCCCAAACTGAAGAAAGACCAAGGTGCCTTACACCAGGGATCAGTCCTGCGACCGGTCCATGATCTCACGTGGGGAAGAGGAACCTGACACAATAACCGTGGCTGCGAGAGGCTGCTGCTGGCAGGGTGAAGCGTGTTCATGGTTCTGATGGAGCAGCAGCAACGAAATGATGAGGGAGAGGAGGCCTGAGCAGCGATGCGCTTCCAGAAACGCATCCACTTTGAAGGGCGCATACTAGACGAAGAGCTCGCAACACCACCCGTGCTTAACGGGGCTGCTGGCTAATTGCTAACTCTTCGAAACGAGCTGTATCGGTGTGCAGGCGGGCTCTATTGAAATGCTGGGGTTTCAACCCCAAGCCCCAAATTAAGGTTGACACATGGGTGGTTCCCACAGCCCTTCACAAAGAGGGGTGAGCTTCCCTTTAGGCTTCCCCCCAGGGTGGTGCCGGCCTGGCAGACAGAGCCATTGGGTAAAGGAGCCCCAGGGGTCCCACACTGAGTAACCCAAGGTCAGGTGTCCACTGAGGGATAACAGCTGGGACCCCTTGCAGACAGGGGCAGTGTCTGTGTGTGAGGGGGATGCCCTGTGCAGAGTTCCCTGCTGGGGAAGGACCTCCTGCCTCCCTGGGACTGGGCTCCAGGCAGTTCTGGCTTTTGTAAACGCGGGCTGTGCAGAGATTCAGTGTGTGGCTTCCTTGGTCTGATGTGTTTGGCTTGTTGACTCGGTTCTCTCCCGTCCCTTCTACGGGAAACTGCATTTCACCATTTATCCCACCCATTGCTGGTCGTGCGGTGTCGTTGTTGGGGTCAGTGGGATCGATGTCGATTATGTATAATGACTGACTTGTTTGTACCCCCAGCGCTCACCCATGGACTGACCCTTCTGTATCAAATACAATTGGGTTATTGGTTCATCTTTCTGCTGGCTGTGTCCTTTATGCTAGGCCTGATAATTGGCAAAACATCTATGTGTAAGATTCCCTGCAAATATCTACACAGCTCTCCCTTCTCTCCCAGCTGAAGGGCTCCATCAGACTGTACATCTCTGACTTTGCATTGCTCCCCGTGTTACCTACAGTGTCTTTCCAATCTCCCCAGCTCTGGGAGATGTTTGGGGTGGAGAACTGAACCAAAGCAGTGTCTCTGGTGGGGGAAACATGAGCAACTCAACGTCCTTGCTTGGGACCTGCTCACCTTACTGTGGGCATAGACCACAGAGCCCAAGAGCTTCCAGGTGCCGCCCCGCCGGTCCATGCGGATCATGCGCAGGATCTGCAGGAACCTCAAACTCCTGAGGGCCGAGGTGGCAAAGACGTTCCCTTGGGACCCCGCCGCCAGCACGGCGATGGATGCGATCAGCACCATGATGTCTGCAAGAACAGAGGGCACAAAAAGCTGCTGAACCACTACCAAAAGGAACAGCACTCCTACAGCCACTGGCAGCAGAAGGCTGGGCATGAAAGGGATCAGTGGAATCTTGTGCTGGAAGGACACAACACAAATTTTAACCTAGAGGACTACGCACCTTATGGAAACATCCTGGTTTCCATCTTCACACTCATCAAACCCATAGAAAATGTGTCAAATACTGCAAAGCCTGAATTCTGGTATGAGATTCAGTGTTAACACTGCTAAACTGGATTAAATCCTTGCAAAATTCACGCCCTTTTCTAACCAGCCACAGTTGCCTGCTACACCGTGCTGGCCAGAGGTGTGAATTCCCCCGTCCAAATGGGGAATGAAAACCTAGCGGTTCACCATAGCAATCCTAGGGTGCTCACAGACAAAGAAAAGCCAAGAAAAAGGCCAAGAAAGAAAAAGCCTTGCTCTATATATCCCAAATTTGAGGATCCTGAACCCCTAGTTTTCTATGAAAATTTTATAGGAGTGTTTTTCTGTGGAGTAAGCTAAAATCCTGCGTAAGACCATTGCCAGGTCCTGGACATCTGAGAGCAGGATCCATAGCAAAAGGCACAGCCTCTGCCCACTCCTTACCCCATAAAAATAACTGCTGTGCACAGATGGTCCCTTTCACACGAGGATCACCAAGCACTTCACAAACAAGAATTAATTAAGTCTCAGAACTCCCTTGTGAGGCAGCTCACTTTGCCAGGGAAGACAAAGTGAGACACAGAGTTTCAACAACTCATGAGTGATTCGGTGTCGAGGTCGGACGCGGGATCACAGCATCCCAGCTCCTACGCTCAGCTTCTCCTAGCTAACCCCCCGCTCCCCTTTCTCTGGTTGTGGGCAGTTGTCAGCGCTGCCTGGGATATGCAGGGCAATAGGATGGCTCCCAGGTCTGCAGAACACAGGATGGGCCTTGTGCAGAATAACAAAAAAATATGTCCACGGATTAGGACTCTTGCATTTGTGCTCTTTCCCTTCACAAGGTGATCACGAAGCAGCTGAAGATCAACCCCCAAAATGCACGTAAGAAACCAGAGCATCGTGCAAGCAAACGCCTGCGATAGCCATTTTGGATTGGGAAATCCCACGAGGGGGGAACAGGTCTTACCGATGACACAGAAAGGCTTGCGGGCAAATTTTAACCTTCCCCTCCAGCCCCGGTATCGGCAGCAGCAGCCAGCTGCCCAGATCCTCACGAAATATTCAACCCCGAACACCACGATGGTGACGATTTCCTGCAAGGGAGACAACACCATTAGTTGAGAAGGTAGCGTGATGGAGAACCAAGCACAAACCCATAACCTCGACTCTGCACACCTCAGAAAACATCACAGAGCTGTCTGCACCATTAAACGGAGAGCCCAGGCTTGAAAGATTGACAAATCTTTTGTGTTTTTCCTCAACCTGCCCTGAGATGGTGAGAGGTACTCCACATTGTAGCCGCGAACTAGAGTTTTACACCTCGTATTGTGTCCTCCATCGCAGGACTGATAGGCGCCTGCTCATCTCCCCAACATTAGTCTCCAGGACTTGACTAAGTTAATGCTGAGCAGCTCAGGGAAGACCAGAGATGGGAATCGCTGGCTACTCCATCCTAGGACTCCTCACAGGGGATTTTGGTTTTTTCCTTAGCAGACTGGACTAGTTGTCTGTGTGCTGGGCTATCTGGTGCAGGGATGGTGGAGATCCTCCATCCCTCCGATGCCAAGCGAGCAGGCAGCTCTTCCCATCCCACCCAAACGCCCTGCGCACGCTCCCTTCCCTCTGATTCCTTTACTAGCGGCGCCTGCCTCAGCTTTCTCATGTGTCCAACTTGACAACGCTCTAATTAGTCTGCAGCGCCTTTTGATGTCGACGTAGGGCAGGGACTAGGGAAGAGGAAAAAAAGACAAAAGGAAAGGAGCCGCGCGAATCCGGCAGCCCCGTGACGTGGCGGCGCGTGCAGGATCTCTGCTGGCTCCCGATGGCAGGAGCCACGTTGTCAGTGCGAGGGATGCCGGGCTATTTAAGGAACAAAACTCTGCAGCTTGGATGGTGGATCAAATAGTTGCAGGGACGTTATAGTGTGGGAGAGGCGGCAGCTACGCAGGCTGCTCCCTACGCGAGCATCCCTGGCTTTAAATATTGAGGGCTGCTGGACACCCAACTGTTTTTCAGTTGGGATCAGCCTTGCTGCTGCGTTTTGCAATTGAAGATAAATATAGAAAAAACTTTAGGAAGAAGGGTTTTATAGGATCCTTTAAAATCTTTTTTAGTTTATTCCTGATACAGATTTCTCCATTTCATATTTTCCCTATTTCTTACCTGCAGGTCCCAGCGATTCTCTTCTCACAAGTGACAGTTTAAATTCTTGCCTCAGTTAAACGCCCCCAACCTCAGCTTTTTGGTGTGGTTTTTGACTTTGTTTTAACGCCTCACTGATGGCTTCATTTGCAACCCCCCACACTTACCAGGATGTATAGGGCCCCTTCTGAGCTGTTCTGGTACTCATCAATGGTCGAAAAGACAGACAGCACCAGGCAGGAGAAAACTAGTAGAAAACTATAGAATAGAGAAATTAAAAAAAAAAAAAAAAAAAAAGAGAGAGAACGTCAGTCTTCAGAGCAGGAATTTTTCACACTTCATCAAACGAGTTCAGAGAGCATTTCTGGACTTATTTCTCTTATTTCTCTAGGAGTATTTACCGTGCTGCTGCTACACCACCGCGTAAAAAGGGAAAGTCTCTGGTTTTACCAACTGGAAGGGTTATATGTGGATGGACACGCTGGACTGCTCCCAGTTTAGCCAGTGCTAATCCAACTCCCCTCCCCGCTGGCAGCTCTGATCACCTCCGACATTATTTCCCCCAGGAACTGTCAACTCTCGCTGCAATGTGCTTTCAACAAGCATGCAAAAAGGGAAATGTATTATTGTGAGAAGAGGCGAGCAGCCTGCTGATGAGCAGGAGCGCAGGCTGAACACAAACCCGGAGAAAAACTCCACTGATGCTCTGCTTATGCATTTGCATCTGCAAAAGCTCACACGGGAGTGGTGCTGCCTTTCCCATCTTTGCCAGGGTAGGACATTTTTGGGTGGATTTAATGTTCCTGCACTCCGGATTAACTCCTTACTGCCTGGGAAGGCTGGTGACTTTTTCGATTTGTTGTAATATCGCTGGGAGGTGGATGGTTGTTTCTCTGCTCTTCTGTGGCCAGACATGGGACACAGCAGGGGTTTGATCCAGTCTAAAGGTGCTGATCCAAGCCTTGATGCTGTTAGGACTTCAGTATGAAGCCAGAGACACCCTGCCATGGGGAGAGAGCTCTGTCCCAGCCCTGCAGGACGCAAAGGAACACCATCATTCTGCGAGCTGGGGTGACCCAGCTTTGATACCAGCTCTCTTAGTGTCTTTTATTCACCCCTTACAGCATGTGTCCTGGTCTCCCTGACGTTTACTGTCCCAAAAACAGCCTCAGAAGTGCCACACCACCCTGTCGTTCCCAGGCTGTCCCTGTCCAAAACTGCCCACTCAGTGCTTGTAGTGAGTGCTGGACGGACCAATGCAAATCAAAAGGCACAAAATGAAAGACAGGAGCTCGACTCTCTTAGTCTGCAGCTACAGAGGTGTCCTGGCATCCGCTCACTGACCGAGAAGGTTTCCACCAGCCCGTGATGCTCACTGCTTGCTCAAGCAAAAGGAGGGAAATTAATTTACTAAAGATCGATTTACTGATACAATAAAGTAGGCCAGCTCAAGAAGAAACTAAAAGCTGCATTCTTTAAAAGCATTAAATAATTCATCTGTCTGGCTTTGTCTCACATTCCTACAAACTGCATTTTGAATATTTATAAGGTACGGTTCAGCTGGTGGGGGCTGTCCCTTTTTGTTGTATAAAGGAGTTTCGCACCATCAGGTCACGCTTGTGGCTTCGAAATGACCATTAATGTCACAGTAACAAGTAAAAATAGGGGGATTTGCAGTATTTATTCGAACCACAGGCTGAAACATCCCTGCCTGCTGGAGGTAAGAGACCTTTCAGAGCCACCTCAGCAAAAGCTGAGCTTTGTCAGCAGCAAGATGAATTCAGCACAGACCAGATCAGGGCAATTGCCTGATTTCTCACTGTAAATTTCCTCTTCTCATACCAGGTCCAGTACCCAGAGACTTGAAACAACCTCAAGAGAGTTAAAAATATCCATCCCTTGAAACCCCACGCATGCTGTCCCTTAATGTCTTGTCTGGGTCTCGCTTAAATGTTTTCTCTCCCCAAGCTGGTCTTTTAAAACCCTTGCCATAACCAAGCCTACCACAACCTGCCCTGCAGCCAAATGGACTCCATCCATCTCGACATCCTCCAGGCTGAGCTGGAGGTGGGACCCTGCACCGTGGCAGCGGGTAGCAGAGCCCAGCACTGCTAGAGGGAAGGAGCTGCAACTGGGTCAGGCAGCCCCGCTCCCGGGGTGGCCCAGATTTTGCTGCAAACTTCTGTGTTGAAGTGAGAAACGAATAATCGATGAAAGAACTCTCTTCCAGCTCTGGTAATTTAATAAAACACACTGTGACTGAAGGAAAGGGATCAGGGGGAAACGAAAATCCTACATTTTTCTGATTAAAAATGTAGAATGCGAGCTTTATTTTTGTGAGCAAACATTACAGTAAAATGCCTGAGGAGGTGCTGAAAGCAAAGTGCAAATATCAACGCAGACTTGCACACTGTGTTTGCTAAGGTGGACCCAGAATGAAGCCACGCTCGAGCCACGAACCCTGGCAGGGACAAACTCCACCAGAAAGAGGATTCCTGTACATTAAGTTTGTCACTAGACATATTTTGGTGGGGCAGGGGAAAAAAAAACAACAAAAAAACCAAACAACTCTTTATCACTGAATCCCAAGGGTGTGTGCAGTGGTTGTGTGAGGAGCACCCGGGCAGCTCCGGGGGCTGCTGGGGCAGTGGGATATCTGGGTACTGCTTCTTCCCTTCCCCAGCTCATTGCTGCAGCCTCGCCTCCAGCCTCTCCATTCCCCTCATCTCCCTGGGGCCAGCTCGGTGCTGCTTTAATTTTGGCTCTGTGCTCCCCAGGGCTCTCATTGCTGGGGAGACCTGATGCAGCTCACAATCGCAGGGCCAGCGTTAATTACAGCACTGACGAGCATGGGAGGCAACAGGGAAGGTGCCAGATTCTTCACTGAAGCATGGGAGCTCCGTGGCCAAATCCCACACGGAGCAAAATCTCCCCGTCTCAGCCCCGATGGGGATGTCCAGCCACCAGGAAAGGAACAGTCCTGCCAGCAAGGGATGCAGGCACTGGCTCACCACAGGGCGAGCTGCACAAGCATCCCAAAACAGCTCCACGGTGATGCACAGCTCCTCTGCTTGGCCCTGTGGTCCACAAACCTCTGGGAGGCTGTAAAAGGAGACTAAGAGAAGGAAACCTTTCTGCAAGGAAACTGAATTCAGGGGGTTGGGGTCAGCATGGCTCCTGGGAGGCTTTGAAGGATCTGCAGACCCCCCCACCCCGCCATGGATAGGGGGGTGGAAGAAGAAAGTTGGGAGGTTTGTCCATGGGGGAGATGGTTTGCATCCTCTGAGCTCCCATCGAGGGAGGGCAGTGGGGAACAGGAAGGCTGACTCTGCTTTAATTTCACCTAATCTACCCAGACAGCACAGGAAAAGGCTCCAGATAATAATGGATAGCTAGGGAAAGTGAAAGAGGCCAATAAATAGTGCAGAGATCGGGATGAATCTGATTTTTAAAGCTACATATCTAATCAACGCAAATTATGTCTGCAGCCTGACTCTGGGTAATGTTAATGTGCAATAAGGAACATTAATTATGACCCATCTAATGATTTTTACATTAAAGATGCCAATTCTGCTTAGAGCTTTGGAGAAGACAATATCCTTCTCCTGAGCAGACAGGAGCTGGATCTTACACGATGCACGGCTGGAGCCAGCACCAGCCTCCCCCAAACCCAAGCCAGGATGCGAAGGGCAGTGTGTAGGTTTGGACCAGTTTCCTCAACAGAACCAAGGAAACTGGCTCCAGCCTCCCCGAGCCACTGGAGAGGGCCATGTCACTGCATCTTCTCACCCACCACCCATTCCTACGGGCACTCAGCACCTTCGGCTGCTCCAGCACCCCCCACACCTGTTTCTTAGACCTTTAAGCTCAGCCAAGACTCAGCTGTGCAAATCTGACTGCTGCTAATACTAATAAATCCAAAGTCCTCCAAAGTCTGGCTTTACATCCAAAGGTTATGTTGACTTAAAACACCCGTGGCAAGCTTCTTATTGAAATTTATAAATCCCACCGCAGGCTCTGCGTATTCAGATTTTATATCCACTGTGCTGCAGGTTCGAAATAGAAAAAGAAATGACTGAACTCCCCCTTGAAAAAAAATATGTAAATGACTTGAAACAGGAAAGATTGCCCTTTTTTTCTTTTTTTTTTCCAGTAAAAGCATATGATGGAATCATCATAAAGCTTTCCAGGTTAATCACCTAATTTGCCTTCCAAAAGAAACCCCTTTGGAATCTACACAGCCATTTACATAAGAATTTTTAAAGAGCTCCAAATTTATTCCTGAAATACTTGTATTCAAATAACATTCGCTGACACGCAAAAACATCGGGCTTCCTCTGATGGAGCACCAATAATTAGCAACTGCAATCCTGGATGCAGTGGAGACGGATACAATACAAGGAGGTGGCACTATAGCTTGATAACAAGCCACTGTGCTTGTTACACGCTTCGCTGCCTTTCCCTGGAATTGGGAAAGGGAATTAATGATTTGTTTAATTAGAAAGAGCAAAGCTGGAAAGGAAGGAGTATTTTACTACAGGCGTTTGAGAGCTGCACAATGGAAAACAACTTAAAACAGTTAAAACATTTAAAAATTACTTTCGGGATGTAAACAAGGCATTGCTAATTGTGCTAAAACACAACCAAAATGCTTACGGGCAATCCGTCTCTAATCCCAGCAATCCATTTGCTGTGGTCTCTGTAAAACAAGGGCCTAAAACTCCAACGGAAATCAAAGGCCATGAAAATGCAGCAACGACACAAAACTGCGGTGAAAGAACAGCCACACCAAAGAGAAACAGAGATTGAAAAAAGTCTTTCGATACCCAGAGCACCTCCTGATCAGAACGGGAGTATTTACAGCTCAGCTGGCGTCTCCAGTGACTCAGAAGCAGAACTCGGGCAATGCCATGACTTTTCCAGGGGTAAAGACCTCGTGGTCGGGGTACTGCACCCACCCTTAGCCAGGAGCATCCATCATCTTTATTCATGTAAGCAATCCTGCTGTGATTTGCAACCCGACGACTCATTTGCAAGGCTAAACACGAGCCTAAATGCCTCAACTCTGGCTTTGCACGTCCCTCAGTCTCAGCCAAAATCATCTCCCAGAGTGACTTCTGTCTCTAGCAGAGCTGAAAATAGAAGCGAGGAGTCCTGCCTTTCGGTCCTGTGCCTTGATAAATGCTCTCCTTTCCAAAACCAGCTCCCGATGGTGCCTCGTTCCCTGAAGGTTTGACCATGCCCAGCCCCGTCGTCCCACCTGAGCCCAGCTGAGATCTCGCTCCTCGGCGGAGCCTGGAGTCTCCCTGAGCACCCATGCGTGTAGAAAACATTGTTTATGGGCAATACAGTGGCTGGTTCCAAGGCAGGGATCCTCATGGTTTATAAACTTTTTAATAAATCTTTAGCAAAGGCCTCTCTGGGACAATGTTAATAGCTTCGGTGCACTGAGTTGATGGTTGAACAAGCCCCAGTAAGAAGCACCCTGTTCGCACAAGGCCAGAAAGTGTACTAAGGACAGTGGTGTAAATGGAGCAGCTGAGCATCTCCAGAGGACCAAAGCAGTGTCCCGGAGGAGGCTACGCTGTGGACAGCGAGGCTGCATTAAACGGTGCTCAGGGAGGTGGGAATTAATCAGGCTGCAGAGAAGCAGGTCTTGGAGATCCCAAACCATGTCGTAGGGGCGGCACTGGGAGAGGAAGGAAAATGAGAGGGTTTCCTTTCCCAGTGAGCCCTACTGCATCACCACCACCCTGAGCAAGCACCCAGGACACGTCCCCCT